CAATTGTGGCACACTCACTCATCTCCCGGCTCCCCAGCTCCCATCTCCCGCAGCGGCGAACAATCAGATGTGGGCGTGTGCGCACGTAGTTTATTATTCAATTATGCATTCATTAAGGTACATAATTAATAATTTAATTAAAGGTAGCACTGGGCAGTGCATCAATTTGTGGCAATGTTTCCTTTATTACTCATTTTCACGCACTCTGACCCGCATTACGATATCGATTGTAATTCCGATTCCGACTCCAATTCCGATTCCGCAGAATTTCCACTCCATGACTCCCACCCAGAGGGCAGCGAGGGAGGTCAAAAGGGTTACGCTCGATCGCAGTTCGAGGAAGTTGGCAGCAACCCGAGACACTGGCTGCGGCATGCGTGATTTCCGATTGAAATTGAATAGCAAATCTTACAGTTTATTGCCTGCCAAATGATGCAAATCATTGTTCAATATCTGTAACTCGAGAGAGATGACTTGCCAAAAAAAAACTTGCCGGAATATTCCACTCAAGAAATCGAGTCTCGATTGCAATAATTACATTAGTTTCGAGGTGGAATGTCATCAGCAAAGCCGTTCTAGCTAAGAATAAATTATTTTAATTGCAAGCTGTAATAAGCTTTAATTCCTAAAAATGTTCACATCCTTTTCACTCTTAATAACTAAATAAATTAAGTCCTTTGCTCCTAAGCACCACCTTTGCATGTAAGAACCACCTTAAGAAGCTGCTTAGAAATTCCAAGCCTGTGCTCGAGGAAAGGTCAAGAGGTGTTCCCGGTAACCCCCTAAATAGAAGCCAGCAAATGCCATGTCTAAGCCACCTCAAGCCACCGTCTTCATCGTCTCTGGGCCAAAGTCTAATTTATGGCTTTATGGCACATTACATTCAAGACAATTCGCTTGCTTTATAACCTGTTAGAGTAAGTCTTTTACGGCCACATCAGGAGAGGGGCATTTGGCCCGGAGATCAAAGCCAGGCCATGGTAATGACCCAGTTGAGTACGACGGTAAACCTTTTAGCCGGGCCACCGATGATTTCATAGCGACATGAATAATTAAAAAGCCCTTACAGGATGCACACGGCCAGTGTTTATGTTTATATGGCCAATGGCCAGTGGCTGGTGGCCAATGACCAAGTTATGGAGGCAGACTTAATTGGGCCAAAACGTTGACAAACATTCGTTTGTTGGCTTACCAACTTTACGTGCAGAGTTTTGGCCCACGTTCACGTTCAATGCCAGCCAAAGAGTTAACCTTTCAATTGGCCGTGTTTAGTGGCCAATAAGTGGCTAGCCTGAGAGCCAGAGAAGTGAAGATTCTGAGTCGACCAGAAAGCCTTGCCGGCAAGCCAAACTGGCCAAACCCAGACTCGGTTTCGGCCCAAGCTCAAGCTCGCTGTCAAGGCGGTCAGGTGCATTTATTGCAATTAAACACACGCTGCTGCTGTTGCTGCCGAAGCTGCAACCGCAAAAACAACGCCACATCTAACAAGAAGCGAGCCAAGATTAATACGTGTATTACGGCCTGGCCACGATTCGACAATCGTCAATCCAGCAGCCGCAATTCCACACAATTCGACGAACCGAGTTACGAGAGCCAACAGCACTGCGATTTGCTTAGAATGCGACACAACCCCCGGTCCGGGTCCGGGCCCCAAATAAAAGCCAAAGTGCCAAGTGACCTTGTCGGTGGCTATTGCAACTAATACTAATGGTATTGCCGCTGAATCTCGAGTGGTTTTCCTTGTGTTTGATTTTCAATTTTTGCATCACAAAGCGAGCATTCGCATTCGCAGTCGCACACTAGAACTGACACACTCGGTAGTGCACTGCAGTGTCGTGGCAGGCACGACGATTGGCAATTGCCCACAAAACATTTATTAATGGTTCATCCATGGTTGGCCAACATTTTCAATTTCCACCAAATGTCTTTCAAAATTAACCACACACAATGGCTGGCATGCCTAAATTATGTATGGCAGCACTCGTTAAATAATTAATAAGTGAAATGTGCAACGTATTTGCGCAGATATAATTACTCCAATTAAATGATAAAATGCACCATCTAATATTGAAATGTTTAGGGAGTCACGCTGCATATATTAAAGTTTTATATTTGATGAATTGTTAAAATGAATTTAATTTATTGTTAAAATATTATCTCTTCTTGAAAAGAACACTGAATACTAAAGTAATTTGATTCTGATTTAAAAGATTGTTTTTTAAAAATAACTCACAAAGCAGAAAATTAGCAAACCCAGCTTGATACAATTTCAACTTCTTCCGAAAGAATCCTATTTTTAAAATGAATTTTATTGCTTTTCTCCACAAACATGTGTTATGATTGGTTGGTAGAATAATAAACTCCAAAATAAATACTTTAAGAATAATATTTATCTATATTTTTGCTACATAAAGCATTTGAAGAGAATTGTTTCCGCTTTTAATCAATACTTGAAAGTCAAATATAAATATAAATTTATTTTTGAAGAAAATATTGTCATTGTAGGAAAAATAACAAAAAAAAAACTGAAAAAAGAACATATACTCTCAGTTCAGTGAGTATCCTTTCTTATGTCTAAAAATAAACGGGGAAACTCCCAGTGGGAAGCAAATGGATTAAAGTCCGCTTATGTCCATAAAACACTCGTGACTTCCAACACAATGGCCAGTTGATCGCACACTTGGCTTCGCTACTAAACAATTCAACAATTTAAATGAAGATGTTCCCAATTGAATTCATGGTCAGGCGGTCATTGCTGAGTTATTTATGCATATAATATTTTACACGGCTGGCAAATGTTAAACGAAGAGCGGTCGAGTGGGTGCCTTTGGCTTTGGCTTGGCTACTTTGGCAGCTAATTCGCAGCAGAAGCAATATTCGCACATTTATCGATTACAAATCAATTTCGTACAAATGCACATCTCACGTAACTTTGTCTTTTGGCCCGGCCGAAGCTCTGCCTTTGACGTTGGCTTGGTTGGTACTTGGTTACTGGTTACTGCTGCTTCTGGTGCTCCGGCCCGTGTGCAATGCATCGTCGCTGCCGGATTACCCTCCGATTAATGCTGCTTGCATACAAATTGGCGCATTTACGTTTCACCTTCACCCACCATCAGCCCACAAAGGGTATGGCAAGGGGGAGCTGAGCTCAGCTGAGCCATCCACAAGATACAGACACGCGCCTGCACTCGTTAGCGCAGAGTCGGGCGGATACCTGGGCATTGCTTTCTTTTGGCATTCGCAAGGCGACTCGAAAATTGCATAAACAACAAGCGAAATGAAAACGGCTACTACGAGATCGGTTCCGGTGCTGGTGGGGTGAGGTGAGGCGCGAAATATAAATTACACCGCGATAGATGCATGCAAATTCAGTTTTTGATTTTCGCATGCAAATGTCTACAACGACTACATTGTCGAGCCCAGAAAAGTTCTCGATACGCGTCGGCAGGGAACTGTGACTGAGTCTGAGACTTCCACTGCGACTACTGTCTTCCGGCAAATCCTAATCAGTATGACTGACACTGGCACTGGCAAAGCACCAGCAATCCCAGTTAACCCAGGTCCTCGAAAACGACAAAAGAAAAAAAGGCTGGAAACCCAAAAAAGAACAAGGAGCTGCTCCCAGCGAGGTGACAACATAAGCAGACTTTTCGCGGGATTTGTCAAATATTTGCGCTACGCTTTCCTCATCCAAAAAAAAAAAAGAGAAAAAATTGTGAGGACGACCCCAAAAACTGCAGCGTGGAATCCCATAACCCAAGTCTCCGCCCCCCATAACCATTCCCCATTTTTATTATTTTTTTTTGTGAACGCTTTCACGCCTCTCGGAAGGCGGGAAAAACTTTTATTATTATTTCATTTTTTGCCCCGCCTCGCAAGTTCAAAAAGTTTAATGCTATTTGACTTTGATTCAATGTTTGCATTGTGCCCGGGCACATCATCGATTATTTTCCACTTGACGCCCCTCACAAACTCATTCAAACCCGTCCATCCATCCATCCAACCATCCGCCCACGCTCTCTGGACCCTGCATCTGGACCCTGGAGCCTCAAACCCAGCTCAGCCCCAGTCCTCGTCCTCATCCGGGTTGTTTGTGGTGGACAAATGAAATATGTTTGGTTGGCCGAATCAAAGCCCTGGCAGTGACAATGCCCGGGTACGAGTATTTTGATAAATTGCGAATTAATTGAATTGCTATGACACGAAATTTAGCACTATTTTTTTGTGAAATAATTAAAGAGTTGTGTGCCTGCCACCGAATGACTGTTGAGTACTATTTTTAGCACAAATATCAAGAATCTTTAATGTTTGGTTAGTCTCTGAAGTCTTTGGAAAAAAAAATCATAATTATATCTTATATTTTTAGTTTTATAACAATTAAAATAGTTGTACTTCTGACAGTAACTATCAGAACTCAAATAACAAATTATCCATACATCCGTGAGTCGAAATTTAACAACCAAAATGTCACATTTTTCAATCAATTTTGTTGTCAGAAATTCCCGGACTGCTAACCAATAATTTAAATATTGCTTAAAATAGCTTGAGTCATGACCCCACATGAATCGGTCTGTATTTTCCCCCGAAATAAATCGATCATTTTTGTGGGCTTGGCCAATCCAGCATAGTTTCATTTATTATTATATCCGAGTGGGGAAATTACGTTTGAAACATAATAATCCACTTGATGATTATCGATTCTTGGAGCCGTAACTCTCGTTGCAATGGCAAAACAATGAATTATTTCCCAATTGCTGTGTTTGTGGATAAAATTTGGGAAATTCAATGAAATTTCACACATTTGTTGTGTGAATGGCAGTGTGTGCTCTGCTGCGAGCTTTTGTTGGACGCTCCTGTAGCAGCGAAGCGAATTCAACTCGTTTCGAGTATTTAATTTTTTTTTTTAGAAAGCCACACTGCCATTTGGCGTACGTAATGGCATTTGTCATACGAGTAGACCAGAGCAGATTGGCCATAATCCCAGGTAATTCAAGACTCACCGCTCTGCTGGCTGCACAGATTCCACGCCCACAGGTTGGATGAGGAGTGGATTTCGACAAAATGTCTTTTTTGTTGTTTTTCTCTTATTTTTTGTTTGGCAAATTACAGGCCTCGTTAATCTGCCACACGAGCCTTCGTTTCAGTTTCGATTTCAGCGCAATCCACACACGGGAATATCCTTTACGAAAGTATTTGACAATTTGTGTAATTTTATTCTTTATTGGCCACTTTCGAAATTTTTTTACTTCTCGTTTTCGAAAATACTTTTACGCGCTTTTTATGCCGCACGCAATGTTGCACAATCGAGTATCGAAAAGCGCGATTCCAAAATTGTCGGCCACAATTATTGCAACAGGTTGGTTGATTGGGGGGGAAGCTCGACCAGCGATCGACGCGATCCGGACCGATACCAAAAACCGAATAGAGTCCCGAGTTTGAAAAGTGATTTTTCCGACGACGAGACGATCGTTACGCGTTCCAGAACCGCGCTGCCAGGCAGACGAAAACAGACTCAGCTCGAGTGCGGCTTGCAAAAACCACAACACCTGATGAGCGGCTCAACGTCTCAGCGGCTCAGTGGCTTGGCGGTTCAGCCGTGGCTCAATGATTCGGCTGCGACGGCGCCGTTGACTGCGCAGTCGACTGCAGCGCAAGCGCGGCGTTTTGTGGGCGGTAAGACCAGCGCCAGCCCAGCTAACGCTGCCTAGCTCCCCAAAAAAAAAGTCGAATTGAGTGGCGCAGTTTGGACGGTGGATTGAAGTATGTAACTAGCCGCACCTGAGCTCTAACTCTGGCCAGCGGGAATATTATGGTCCAATTTTATGAGGCGTAAATTCAAAGCTCTCCGAAGTAGAGATAAACATCGTACTCTATTAAAATAGTAAAATAAATTCGCATTCAAACACATGGCTTTCAAACCTAGCAGGTTAAAAAGCGATTGGTTTGCATGTTTCCTGGCATTTGGCAAAGGAATTTTAATATGAACATTAACTTATATGTATGAAATATCCAAAAAAGTGGCCATTGGGTAGTTTTAAGCGAAGTTGTGCAATAGAAATAAGCTTCAAAGATTTCACGAAAATATCACTCATACGCAATGTTGGCAATAAGTCGTAGGGCTTAAAGGCCTGCCTGAACTTTGACTGTCATCAATTATTATCGTGTTTAACTGATTTGACAGTTGTTTTATATTTTTCTCACCCTTATTTGTGATAATTATAGTTATTATAGATTTACTTAGCACTCGACACCCTTGTTAGATTAAGTGGCGCAAAGTAGTTAACCTGGACCTCAGAGGGCTGAGGACCCCTTGCACACTGTGCTGCGACGATGAACTTGCACAGCCCCCACAGATGACTCATTGGCTGGTGCAATCCACATCCGTTCAGGCCCAATCCCCTTCCAAATCCCCATCCCGATAGGATTCCCAGCCCACTTTGTATGCCTGCATCGTCCGCCCGGAGAAGTCGTTCGACGTAGTTCGCTCATAAATTTTGCATTTGCTGTGTGATTTTCCTTTTTAGACGCGACAAGATTTTACTGATTTCGTATATGTGTATATATAATGTATTCGTACGAGCATTCTATACTGAGTATATGCGAATTCGGTTCTGTCGTTCAATCATTTTTATTTTATTTTGCTTAGTGGTAATCGCAGCTCTGCCATCAATCACGTAATTCCCAGCATGTTTTGTCGCCGATTCCATCTGTATCTCGACTCCGCATCTTCTCACAACAAACAAAGCCAGACTGAGAGTCGAATCGCCGGCAAACACGACTCTATAAACCGAAATATCTCTGGCATAAATGCTTCGCCGAAACAAAAGGCCCATTAACGACAAATGAAAAATAACAAAATAATAAAGCAATATTTGCGAATCCGTCATTGCATATTAATGGTGCCCTCATCAAAAGGCACTCAAGTGCACACTTCTGTGGGTATGATCCGATCTTATTCGGATTCTGTTCAAACACTTGTCACTGACAAGACTCGGCTTTGATACGTTATGACTTTATTTCGGTTGCCAGATTGGTTAAAGATTTAATTACTGTGAAGAGGTATACTTGTAATGAATAGAAGCTGGAAAATTATTCGTGTTTTATTTATAAATTAGAGAGACTTTGAGATTTGAACTTTTGCTTGTTTAACTTTACAAGTGATAGGTTAATGGTAAGTGAGCGATAAACAAATATTGTAAATTATAATTAAACAGAGAAAAAGTGGAAAACAATTACATAAAGGGCTGAAAGGGTGAAAAATACTTAAACTAATGGCTCGATGCTCTTACTCTACACTAATAATTTTTATTTTTAAAACCAAAGCTTAGAGACCTAAAAGTAGAGTAACTCAAAGGAACACTCCCAAAACCTATTAGCTCCCAAGAACTCCATGTTTTAATTTTTGCATTCCCAAAATCAGGAAATCCAGATTGCATTGCAGAACTAGATCGTATCATGAATCATTATAGGAATTGGCCACAGAGTCGCCTGGCAGACACAAACGTGATTTTAAGAACCCCATAAAAGTGGTAATAAAAAAACTAAAGCGAAAGTGACCTTGCCGTCCGCCTCACCGTCGCTCAAGATTCCGGTACATAGTCTCGAATCCATCTAAACGGTTGCACCCCCGATACCGAAACCGAAACCGGCCAGCACCATCATCGTGATAATGGCCTAAGCAAATTGCCAAGTCATTCGGGTTTTTGCCATACGCGATTCTGGCAAATCAACAAACAAATAACACCAGACAAACACAGAAAAAAAGCATAATAGCAATTGCAAAGAAATCAAAGTCAAAGTCAAAGTCTAGAAGCTGCAAATCCGAAAGGTAATTGCCAGGGCTAATTCGGATTATGGAGATGGGCGATACAGAAAAATCGACGCGTCACCGCATAATTATTCGGAGGAGTCTCCCGATGATGAGAAGGGCTGGTGTCGGATAATTTGCCATTTCTGCCGTGATTTACTATTGACTTTGGTGTCGGGCTGGACTCCTTGATTTATTTTATGACTCAACGTATCACAGAGTGCGCCCACGCTTTCGAAAACGTTCTTATAATTCCTGTTGAAGAGACTGATACCCTAAAGAATACCCTAACTGAATAAGGGTATTATTTCGATTAAAAACTCGTGCTGAAAATAAGAGATGGTATACCTCTCTAGTTGTACCTAAACAAATGTATATCTTAGGTTTTGTTTATAATAAACTTTTATTAAAATCAATTACATATAATTTGCGTTGTGGACAATATTATTTCTTAGTATGTTTCCATGATCTCCGTCAAAATAGAATTCTTCCATGGAGAGTATAAAAACATCAGTCACGGTGGAACACAAATGGCTGGCAGTGTGTGAGTGAAAACACATACATGGACGTGGACATGGATGAACGGAACCCATTGAAATTCAGAGCGGGTTCAAAGACGGTCGGCCACGGCAACAAATCGTGCAAACAGCAACTCGCCGAATTGCATAGAGCAACATCTTCATGGCAAATAGCGATGGGGCTGTCGAGGGCGTGGAAGGCGGTGGCAGGTGGGATCTGGGAAATACTAGTGGCTGGAATGGCGATTAAGTCGCAGTCACCAAAGCGGTTCAGCTAAATGCATTCGAGTGCTTTATTGATTGCGTTTCGTGTGCGCAGAGAACGCAAAACTGTATGAAAATCTATTAATTCTACTCGGGGATAAGCAAATGCATCTCAAGTGGCTCGGACCTCCTCGGAATGGGGCAAGGTCAGGGGCGGAGGAGGTAGCTGGCTGGGCCGGGACAGTGACAGGCCAAGTGGCTGACGTGGGATATGGCTTTGCCCCGTTGACAGGTGTTGAGTCAACTACGAACCGAAAGTCTGGCTATTAATGAAAAACAAGTACGAGTAACTACTGAACAATAGATTAACTTCTAGACTATGAGATACCCGGTTAAAATTATCTTTGAATCTTTATTGAAAAGATTGTCGTCAATTCGTTTGAATATTTTCTATAAAAATGCAAACTATTTTTTATTTTCTGATATATGTTATTAATTTACACATTTGTTTTTCTTTTCTAGTACTACAAATATTCAATAATAACATATCCCTAGCGTATATCTAATACGAGTATACCCTACAATTTTACTAGTAACTTGTTTATAAACTTATTGATGTTGTCTATCAATCTATTTGATGCTAGAATTGTTTGAAGGGTCCACTCAGCTTCCGACTTTGACTTCAAAGGTGTTATTTAATTGTGTTTGCTTTATTAGTATATCCAGAAGCGTTTAACTTCCATTAATTTGCCAATATGCGCGAAAAAAAACATCAGCAAAAAGCCTATAAACAAGATGCGGAAAATACTTTTCCTCATCAGAGCCAAAGTGCAGACAATAAACACCAAGTCGAGTCTTGGACGTGCGACACTAAAAGCCAAGTTAATGCACTGTGAAGCACAGAGCTCTTAAATAATAATTACGCGCTGGCTGCCCCAAAGGTCAGCCCCAAATACTCGCTCAAGGTGGTTATTAATATTATGAAATGGCACTGTGTGGGACTATGAATAAATTATCTTAAAAAAGAGGCATACTTATCAAATGTAATACTTAAATATTGTAGTATTTTCAAATGCTTAAATTTTATTTTTACATTTTGACATTGTAGGGTATGGGCTGGCTAACGAGACAGAAATTGATTGATTACCCGCGAATGCTTATACTATGTAAATGTACCTATAATTATATAATTATTGTGTTGTACTAACACGTGAATGTAATTTGTGTCTGACAAAAATACAGGCATTTTACTCTAAATAATTTTTCACTTCGCCATCGCCGGTCATGAAGAGAGTTTTTGCCATTTGCTTGCTGTTTTTGCCCTTGGAGCGTTATCAAAGTGTATTAATAACGCAATTTAGTTTCAAGAAATATTGTGATTCAGTGTCTCTCTATTTCAGGGGGGAGTAACCTTCAAAATGACGAATGCGGTGTGCGAGTCCTACAACAAATCCTGGGTAGAATTTGGTCTTTGTCGACTGAGAGCTGTGAATCGAAACAAGGTTACTACACTATATCCCATATTTGCATAAAAACCTTACAACTTATACTTTTAAAGGTCTGCCTAAATGTAAATGCTACCTTGCACTATCCAGTGCACGATGTTATAGTAAAGGCCCAGTTAATGAAGCGGGCCAATGGATATAAGCCCTGGCTTTACAGCGTTAGCTTCGATGGTTGTCAGTTCATACGAAGAAGAAACAATGCTTTGATTCGCATAGTTTGGGACCTATTCAAGGAATACTCGACGATTAATCACACCTGTCCCTATGTGGTAAGTATTCAAAGATCATTAATAAAAACTAAAGCAATACTAATAAAATTTCCAGGGTCTTCAAAGAGTTAAAGATTTTTATCTAAGATCGGAAAAGCTTCCAGGACCTATACCCACAGGCGATTATTTGCTACTTATTGATTGGGTTTTCAATAAGAAGCCCCAAGCTGCCACAAATGTTTATTTTACTTTTGTAGAAGATCTGAAGACCGCTTAAAAGATATGACATTTTTCAAAATTTTAATAAAAATCCATCAATATCCAATATATTCAGATTTTTATGCAGATTAATGGAGGTACAAATACAATTTTGGAAGGGAGTCCTCTAGAAAATTTGACAAAAAATCGAAAAAATATTTTGTCTCCAGATTTTGATGCAAATTGATAGAAAATCGCTCTACAAATCGTTTAAGATATTCCGCTCAAGAATCGGATGAGTGTTGACAAAGATATGGCCATCGCTGGGGGCCAAATTACTGATTCATGCATTTTCCCAATTTTTGAAGGGAGTCCTCCAGAAAATTTTACAAAAAATCGAAAAATTATTTCGTCTCCAGATTTTGATGCGAATTGATAGAAAACCGATCTACAAATCGTTTAAGATATTCCGCTCAAGAATCGGATGAGTATTGACAAAGATATGGCCATCGCTGGGGGGCCAAATTACTGATTCATGCATTTTCCCAATTTTTGAAGGGAGTCGTCCAGAAAATTTGACAAAAAATCGAAAAATTATTTTGTTTCCAGATTTTGATGCAAATTAATAGAAAATTGATCTACAAATCGTTTAAGATATTCCGCTCAAGAATCGGATGAGTATTGACAAAGATATGGCCATCGCTGGGGGGCCAAATTACTGATTCATGCATTTTCCCAATTTTTGAAGGGAGTCCTCCAGAAAATTTGACAAAAAATCGAAACATTATTTTGTTTCCATATTTTGATGCAAATTAATAGAAAATTGATCTACAAATCGTTTAAGATATTCCGCTCAAGAATCGGATGAGTATTGACAAAGATATGGCCATCGCTGGGGGGCCAAATTACTGATTCATGCATTTTCCCAATTTTTGAAGGGAGTCCTCCAGAAAATTTGACAAAAAATCGAAACATTATTTTGTTTCCATATTTTGATGCAAATTGATAGAAAATTGATCTACAAATCGTTTAAGATATTCCGCTCAAGAATCGGATGAGTATTGACAAAGATATGGCCATCGCTGTGGGGCCAAATTACTGATTCATGCATTTTCCCAATTTTTGAAGCGAATCCTCCAGAAAATTTGACAAAAAATCGAAAAAATATTTTGTCTCCAGATTTTGATGCAAATTGATAGAAAATGGATCTACAATTCGTTTAAGATATTCCGCTCAAGGATGAGTGTTGACAAAGATATGGCCATCGCTCGGGGCCAAATTACTGATTCATGCATTTTCCGAATTTTTGAAGGGAGTCCTCCAGAAAATTTTACAAAAAATCGAAAAATTATTTTGTCTCCAGATTTTGATGCAAATTGATAGAAAATCGATCTACTAATCGTTTAAGATATTCCGGTCAAGAATCGGATAAGTATTGACAAAGATATGGCCATGCATTTTCCCAATTTTTGAAGGGGTCCTCCAGAAAATTTTACAAAAAATCGAAAAATTTTGTTGTCTTCAGATTTTGATGCAGATTAATGTTAAATCGGTGTACAAATCATTGGAGGTATTCCGCTTAAAAATTTTAGGAAGTTGGATGTATCTTTATAATCGGAAGTATCCTATAGAATTTATAGGAGGTTCTCATTCGTATTGTTTAGTTGTTTCTTTAGTTCTTTAAATATAAACAGTCAAAAGAAAAAAGGAATGTTATGAAACCGATTTGGTCATAATTAAGATACTTTTCTATGCAAACCGCTGTCCAAACGATCGAAACACTTATCTGTGGAATACAAATTTGATTATTAAATCTTTGTTGTGAGACCACCTAGGGAAGCACTGAGACCACCAGCGTAATGTCAACAGACATTGATTTAATCAAAAATAAACAACAATAAAAATTACCTGTTGAGCTTATTTTTTATTTTTAAATACACTGCGGAACAAAAACCCAAAAACTAATTTGTAAAAAAAAAACAATAACGGCCATTTCTGTATTTAAAAATGTCAGTACTTTGCAACACTGCAAAAATGCTGGTATTAATTTTAGTTTCAGTATTTTGTTTTTAAATAAATTTTATGAAATTTATTAAAAGTATTATAATTTAAAATTGTCCGTAACATCCATTAACGTTTTTCAATTACATTTAATATGTGGCTGATAACTTGCGTGCTCTACAAAAAGTATTAAGTAAGACCGTTTCAGCATTTTCTTAAAAATCCCATGTTGAGGGGGCGCTCACGCCCACTCTAACAATATTGATTACTAACAAAAAGAATTTTGCACTGACTTGTGGGTTCGCAGGTGCAATTTCCCACCAGGATGGATATGATAAACAAATTCTACTCGACAGCCGTGCAGACGGTGTCCACGCTGTCCGGTGTTCTGCCAGGAAACAACGTGACCCGCGAGTACGAAGTGCTGGACCAAGTATGCACTGCCGGAGTTGGTGAGTTCTTGGAGCTACTCCCTGTAGGAGTATAAACATATTGAAACCCAAATGACATCCCTTAGGTCTGATGTGGAAGGTGTACAATGGCTATAAGAAGAGCACCAAGCAGGAAGTTTCGGTTTTCGTCTTTGAGAAAAAATCCCTGGAGCGGTGGTCCAAAGACGATAGGGAGACAATGCTGGAAACGCTTCGTCGGGGAGTGCAACAGCTGACCAAGATTCGTCATCCCCATGTTCTCACTGTACAGCACCCGTTGGAGGAGAGCCGCGATTCACTGGCCTTTGCCACAGAGCCGGTTTTTGCATCACTGGCCAATGTAGTCGGAGATTCTGTGCGATCTGACAAGAAGCTCTACGACGTGGAAATACGTCACGGTCTGCTTCAGCTTTTTGATGGCTTGCAGTTCCTTCACCAAGATGCCAAGATCGTACATCGTAATATCAGCGCGGAGACGATTGTGATCAATAAAAACCGCAGCTGGAAACTGTTCGGCTTCGACTTTTGCATCGCCAACCAGCCAGCAACAGATGGAACTCCCCACTGGCCGTTCCGAGAGTACACGACCTCACTGCATGTCCTGGCACAACCTAGTCTTGAATACACCGCACCGGAGGTGGCCTTGAATAGCATCAACACGCCGGACAGTGACCTATTTTCATTGGGTAAACTCTTGTAAATGTTTTTAAAATTGAAGCAAAGTTATCTCATATTTTTCCCTCTTCAGGTGTGCTGATTTTTACGATTTACTCCGGTAAACCATTAAAAATGTTTGGCAGCGATTACAGTGGCTTTAGGCGCTATGCCAATGAACTGAACCAGCGCAAGTACCCGCCCATGAACGCCGTGCCTGGTGATTTAACCGAAAGCCTTAAAGCTCTTCTGCATCCCAGTGCCAGCCTGCGCCCGAAGTTGCACGAGCTGAAGCAAATCACCTACTTCCAGGACGTGGGAGTGAAGACCCTCAGCTATCTAGATTCTCTGTACCAGTGGGACAACCTGCAAAAGTCAAAGTTCTACAAGGGCCTGCCCCAAATTATTCCCACGTTGCCGCATCGCGTCAATCTACACTCGATTCTGCCGTATTTGGTTAAGGAGTTTGTCAACTCGCCAATGATTCCGTTTGTACTGCCCAATGTTCTGCTCATCGCTGAGATGAGCAGCCAAAAGGAGTACTGTGATCATATTCTACCCCATCTTAAACCGATCTTCAAGCTGACGGATCCCATTCAGATACTGCTGATCTTTATGCAGAAAATGGATCTACTGTTGAAACTCACACCAGCGGAGGAGGTAAAGCAGAGTGTGCTGCCACTACTGTATCGGTCTTTGGAATGCGATATGCCACAGATTCAGGACCTATGCCTGGCTGTGCTCCCGACCTTTTCCACACTGATAGACTACAATGCTATGAAGAACTCGGTGTTGCCTCGCATTAAGAAATTGTGCTTGCAGAGCAGCAATGTGTCCGTAAAAGTGAACTGTCTTATATCCATTGGCAAGCTGCTGGAAAACCTAGACAAGTGGCTGGTGCTGGACGAGATTCTGCCTTTCCTGCAGCAAATTCAGAGCCGCGAACCTGCTATTATTATGGGAATCATAGGTGAGTTCAAGAAATATAATGCTAGCCGCATTTTCATATATTATTTATTATTAGGTATCTACAAGATTGCTATGACCAACACAAAGCTGGGCATAACGAAGGATGTGATGGCCCACAAATGCATTCCCTACCTAGTCCCCTTGAGTGTGGAAAATGGTCTGACCATAGCTCAATTCAACACTATTGTAGCCCTTATAAAAGAAATGCTGGGCCGTGTGGAGTTGGAGCAGCGTGAAAAACTGCAGCAACTATCCACAATTCAAAGAGACAATAAGTAAGTAATTCGCTAATAATTTATTAAAAGTACTCATCATTTTACTTTCCAAAAAGACCCAAAGATGCTTCCGAAATATTGGCTAACGAGCTCGAAACAAGTACACTATCCTCTAGTGGTGCCACCAATGGCAACAAGGGCAACGATGACATGTTCTCCGGGTTTTCTGTGGGCCAGCCAAAACCGACTAACACCACCCTTGCTCCTGTCAAAGCCAAAGAACAGCTCAAGTAGGAACTTATCCTGGATGAAAAATGAAGATGACACTCAAGAAACATTTTGTTATTCCAGAATAACGCACACAGCAGCCAAGCCCGACATTCTCTCCTCCATGATGCAGAGCAACCTAACAGGCCTGGGGACGTCGACGGTACCATCAGTTCCTCCTCCATCTGCCACTCCTGTGCAAGTACAAACCAATAACGGCTGGCACAGCGCCAATCCGTTGGTGATGAACCATCAACTAGCATCCCCTCAGTCCAGCAACAACAACTTTTCTTCGTTGGACGACCTGGATCCCTTCGGTGGAGGAGGCAACAGTGGCGGAGCAGCGAAGCCAAGCAATGTCAACGGTGCCAACATGTATACGGTTCAACAGCCAACTGTTAACTACATCTACCCAACCAACTACAGTCTTAACAACATCCAACAGCAGCAGCAACAGCAGAAACTGAGTATGGGAAACCCAAGTCAAGCCCTCCCGCTAATGCCCCAGACAAAACCTCTGCAGCCGGCGGATAATCAGAACCTCAACGCACTCTCCCAGCAAGACATCCTTAACTTTTTGAACTAGACGCAGTCGTAGCCAATAACCGATAGAAATGAATATTCCATATACATAAAATATACAAGGCAACTAACTAATATACACTAGTGTGAGTCGATTTGTAGAACCTGGAATCGAGATAAGTAATGGGAGTATAAGCACAAATTTCCCATATTTTCGTTCCAACATTTTTAAATCACAAATCGGCTCAATTTAATATTCGCATATTCATATATAAAATTATATATAAATGTATTTATACAAGAGTGTGACTGTCCCGTTTAAGTGTGTGCGTGTTTGTTAGACATGTTTTAAATTAAATTATGTAGATTTTAACAAGAATCCCTCGTTGACACATTCCGCAACCGATATCAAATGTGAAACGATACGAATGCATGTAGTTAAATAGAATATGTATTATTGTTAGCTAGAGAGAAAGCCAACCAACCATGTTCTGTGCATTGTGCAATTGCTCCTTACTTAAATTTTACAAAATATATCAATCAAAGACAGTTTTTGTGTTAACCTTAATCCTGGGATTATTGGTTAAGTAATCTGTGTATTTTTAAACGATGCTTCAATCATTATTATTAAACTTGTTTATTTTTAGGCTCTTCATCAGTTTCCGGTAATTTCACCTGGATTATATAAGGATTGAATGGCGAACCCAGATAAAGGTGGCCTTTATATTCCACGGCATGCGATATCCCAGCTGCTGATCTATCAAATCCGTGAAAGGCTTTCACTATGTTGCCGTTCCAATCCACCCGTAGCACTGTGGTGCGATTGGGCGACAAGCTGCTGAACCAAGAAGTTGCTGAGTGAAACAAATGGACAGACAAATTGTTGGGAAATATGCTGTTGAACAATCTAAAAGGAAGTTGAATCAGAGCCACCATACGGGAAAGGAAGAACCGTAAATTTGGATATGGCGACAATTTGGCAAAGATATTGGGATTCTCAGTGTCCACCGACATGCCTAAAGGCACCCAAATTCCCTCCGAGTCCGGGGTGAGATTATCTGGCAGACCGGGCAAACCATCCACAAAAACTTCGGTTTGACCGGCTCGGGGTCCTTTAAGATAATATTTCAACAACCGCATGGCTGCTGTTTCGACTACGACAACGAAATCTTCATTGGGGCTTAAAGCTAATCCGTTGGCAAAGGCAAGTCCGTCCAAAAGTACTTCGTTGGTCTTCTGCTCTCGATTGTATCTAAAGAGACTAAAAATATATGTTTTATATAGTGTAGATTCATAATATTATTTAACGATTATAAGTAATACATACCGCCCAGAAGGATTGGCAAACAGAACCAAAGATACATCATCGGATAGGGAATCAGTCCAATAAATATCCCCATTCTGGCTAACTGCCACACTGTTAAATAGTCGAGCCGGTCGATGAACTCTTGTGCCTGGGAGAATGTCTTCCGGGGACACCAACTGAGTCCTCTTTTTCGTTTCCAAGTTGACTTCCCATAATCCATAGTAGGCATCACCCACAATCAGATTGTTCCCCTTGGTGTCCAAAGCCAAACCCACAGGATATCCACATACTTCCAGGTCGTAAATATAATCTACAAGAACAATTCTCTATGAAAAGCGTGAAAAGGTCAAATATTGAATGAACTTACCACAAGGCTTGCCCACTTTGGTCACCGCTTCAAGACGTTTATCTTCTATATTCAACTTCAAGACCTCTCCTCCATAGATGCCCGTGTATAAGCCGTCGTTTCCGGGAAGAAGGTTCTCCGGGCCAAAAACTTGATCCTTAAATAAATGTCTCGCTCCATCAAGATGAGAATTTAGTTGAAGAACCCCAGTAAGCTCCCTTGGGGGTTTGATACTGAAAACATTAGTTTAGTAAAAGTTTAAAATGAGAAATCCATCATTTTACACATATTCCTTAAACGGAAAAGTCGTTTTAGGCGGTAGTCCAGGAAGGAAATATATAGCGCCCAGAATTATGACAGAATATACGATTTTTTTAAGGAAAGACTGAACGAAACCCATGGTGAGCGTCTAAAATCAACAGAAAATGATCATTGAACCCTCGATAAGCCGCGAGCAGCTAGTCGTTTACTGCTTGTGATGATAGTCATGATTACGAATATGTTTTCGTATTCCAAAGCAACGATCTTCGATCAACCGATTCAATGCAACACTAGGTTGATTTTCTTGGCGACCGATTCAAACCGTACACTCTTTTGATTTTTAATTGTTATAAACAAACCCCCAAACAAAACCCTTAAGTTTAAATTTAAATCCATTTATTAATGATAGACGCAGAAAGTGCTCAAGATGATATCTTTGGCGATATCTATTTTTGCTGAGATCTTTCTCTTGTGTTTAGTTAACAGATTTTTATAACTATCCTCCCGAACTTTCAGCTTAGCCTAGTGAGTGAGATATACATATATCACGAGCAAATCGGAACGCATTGTCTAAGGCTGCCGTTAATCCATAATTGCTAAGCTTAAGTGCACCAAAATCTTTGGCTACAAAAACAATTGGCCTACAAGCTAGATAACAAATACTGGTATCCTCCTCAGGTCTCCACCAGGACATGAGTGAATAGGCTGTGCATACGGCGTTCTACCTCCTTGTAGACCAGGGAGTTGAGTCCATCAGAGTGCTGGCGAAGTGTAGCAGCCCTAAGCAGGGCCACTCGGTTCTCGTTGGGCCGCTCCGGCTTGTGTTTTAACATGGTGTACTCGCTAAACTCCGGTGCAAAACGACATATATCGATACCCAGCGCCACTAGACGCTCGTAGAGATCATCGTCCTCGCCGCCCCAACCATGGTACAGGTTTGACATCCCGTTAATCTGCTGAAACTGGACGGTGTTGATGGACACCACGCCGCCAAATAGCCCTCGATAAGGTAGCCGAAAGCGCCAGTGATCCAGGGCCGAACACATGTGTCGGGGCAGTGGTGTGCAAGCATACATCTGACCCGAGTTGAGTGGCAGCAGGTCCACGTCGTGGAGCACCAAGCAGGGGAACCCATATTCAGCCGCTACCTGTGCCCCAATGTTGAAGAGCATTGCCCGGTTGAAAGGTTTATGGTCGAACTGCTCAATCAGAAAAATCCGATAATGGATCAGCTGCTGGCGCAAATAGTTGTGCATGTAGGTGAGAAAGGTGTGCAGTTGCTCCTCTCGTTGCCTATAGGGAACAATGATGGCAGTGCTGTACTTGGCCTGACACTGCTCTGGCCGAAACTCGCCACCGGGACGAATCTCCTCCTGACGATGAACAGCCTCATGGTAGTGAGCAAGATTGTACACAAATCGGTTTTCCTCCAGAACCTCAACGTATCTGCACTCGAACACCCCCTGAAGAGATATATTTCGAGTAACTTGCTGGACCAAAGCCGCCTCGATCCGTGATCCCTCGATGTACTCGTAGTGAGACGCGAACCGGAAGGGCAGTGCCAGGTAAACTATGAGCGTGATCAATCCAATGGCGAAAAGAAGGTCATGGATGTGGAAGCTCCGATGCCAGAGTCGCAAGAACATCGTTTAGCGGGAACACTAGCGCTCAGGAAGATCGGGATCGAGGCCGAAATCTAGAAAAACTCCTCATCCTCTTGATGGTGACAAGCGTGAGTGAATCGCGGGCTATTGGTAAGCAAACAGCTGACGACCAAGGTTGGAAAATGAAACACACCCCACAGTCTTTGGCGCGGCTTTCTACAGTAAAGCCTTTATGTGGGGGCTAATATATATTTTTAAAAAACTTTTAAACTTTAGATAAAAATTAATCAAATCTGTTTTTGTAGGTATATAAAGAAAAATACTTTTATAAGATATCGTAAGATTACTAAAATAATATTAGACTCTAAACAAGCTGGTTTTTCAAGACGGTAATTCACTGCCATTCAAAGCGTTGGATAAGGGGATTTTTATCTGATAAGATTATGCAAATATTTTATGAATTGCATAAAACCAAGTGATGTGTCGTTGTATGAGTACCAAACCCCTTTCAAATAAGAATGATGGATTAAAAAAGTTATTAATGGAACTTTGTTATCGATGGATTAAAAAAGTTATTGATAAAAATAACAGAAAATTGTATGTTTATTTCATAGGTATCTACTGTAAAGGAAACTGACTTTCTGAAAACGTTTAGTAACACTGTCTTTGCTTATTTTCCATCCCTGGACCGGCAGCCGCGTTTAAGAAATCTGTAGTTTTGATGCATTTTTATAATTTGCAGATGTTGCCGTAGTAAAGGACATCAAAATGACTTCAATTATTAAACTACACACCATATCGGGGGCTATGGACGAGTCCCCGCCGTGCTACATTCTCCAAATCGACGATGTGAGGATTCTACTGGACTGCGGATGGGACGAAAAGTTCGATCCAAACTTTATTAAGGAATTGAAGAGGTAGCATAGAAACAAGACAACGAACGACTCAAACTAACATCAATCCTACTTCTTGTAGACAAGTACACACCTTAGATGCCGTGCTGCTCTCCCACCCGGATGCCTATCACCTGGGTGCTCTTCCCTATCTTGTGGGCAAACTGGGTCTCAATTGCCCCATCTACGCCACCATTCCAGTTTTTAAGATGGGTCAAATGTTCATGTACGACCTGTACATGTCGCACTTTAATATGGGAGACTTTGATCTCTTCTCACTGGACGACGTGGATACAGCCTTCGAAAAGATCACCCAACTGAAATATAATCAAACTGTTTCCCTCAAAGGAAAGGGCTACGGAATATCTATAACACCTCTGAATGCAGGACACATGATCGGCGGCACTATCTGGAAGATTGTCAAGGTCGGTGAGGAGGACATTGTGTATGCGACGGACTTTAATCACAAAAAGGAGCGCCACCTGAGCGGATGTGAGTTGGACCGTCTGCAGAGACCGTCACTTCTCATTACGGACGCTTACAATGCGCAGTACCAGCAGGCCAGGCGAAGGGCCCGCGATGAAAAGCTTATGACCAACATCCTTCAGACAGTGAGAAATAATGGCAACGTGCTGATTGCGGTAGACACTGCTGGAAGAGTTTTGGAGTTAGCCCACATGCTGGACCAACTGTGGAAGAACAAGGAGTCGGGGCTGATGGCCTACTCGCTGGCGCTACTGAATAATGTCAGTTACAATGTCATAGAGTTTGCAAAATCACAAATCGAATGGATGAGCGACAAGCTTACAAAAGCTTTCGAAGGAGCCCGCAACAATCCTTTTCAATTTAAACATATCCAGCTGTGCCATTCCCTAGCGGATATCTACAAGCTGCCAGCGGGCCCAAAAGTGGTGTTAGCCAGTACTCCTGATCTGGAAAGTGGCTTCACCAGAGACCTCTTTGTTCAGTGGGCGAGCAATTCCAACAACAGCATTATTCTAACCACTCGCACCTCTCCTGGAACTTTGGCGATGGAATTGGTAGAAAACTCCACTCCGGGAAGACAAATAGAGCTGGACATCAGGCGCAGGGTGGAACTGGAGGGCGCCGAGTTGGACGAGTACCTGCGAACTCAAGGAGAGAAGCTCAACCCGCTGATAGTAAAGCCAGACGTGGAAGAGGAAAGTAGCTCAGAATCTGAGGATGATATTGAGATGAGCGTGATCACAGGAAAGCATGACATTGTAGTCCGTCCGGAGGGTCGTCACCATTCGGGTTTCTTCAAGTCCAACAAGCGCCATCATGTGATGTTCCCCTATCATGAAGAAAAAGTCAAGTACGATGAGTACGGAGAGATCATCAACCTGGACGACTACCGCATCGCGGACACAAGTGGCTACGATTTCGTACCCATGGAGGAGCAGAACAAAGAGAACGTCAAAAAGGAGGAACCGGGCACGGGTATAGACCACCAGACTAATGGAAACGTTGGTGATACCGATGTCCAGCTTCTGGAAAAGCCTACTAAGCTGATAAACCAGCGAAAGACCATAGAAGTGAATGCCCAAATACAAAGAATCGACTTTGAAGGCCGCTCTGATGGTGAGTCGATGCTGAAGATTCTATCGCAGCTGCGCCCACGGCGAGTAATTGTCATTCATGGAACTGCAGAGGGCACCCAGGTGGTGGCCAAGCATTGTGAGCAGAACGTTGGAGCCCGCGTCTTTACGCCCCAAAAGGGTGAGATCATCGATGTGACTACTGAGATTCATATCTACCAGGTGCGCCTCACCGAGGGACTTGTCTCGCAACTGCAGTTTCAGAAGGGCAAGGACGCGGAAGTGGCCTGGGTGGACGGTCGCTTGGGCATGCGCCTGAAAGCTATCGATGCTGCAATGGATGTGACTGTTGAACAGGATAATAGTGCCCAAGAGGCCAAAACATTGACGCTAGAGACGTTGGCCGAGGACGAGATTCCTGTGCACAACTCTGTCCTCATCAACGAGCTGAAACTCTCCGATTTCAAGCAGATTCTCATGCGAAACAACATCAACTCTGAGTTCTCAGGAGGTGTGTTGTGGTGCAGCAATGGCACCCTGGCCCTCAGACGTGTTGATGCCGGCAAGGTGGCCATGGAAGGCTGCATTTCGGAAGAGTACTATAAGATCAGGGAGCTGCTTTACGAGCAGTACGCGATAGTTTAATATTAAAGGTGTTTCTCTTTACAATTTTATAAAATTTATTAATTTTAATAGTTTGTCTACATAAATTGGAGCATGGGATCTTCTGCACGAGGACGCTTCTTTTTCCACTCTTCGATTTCGTCCTCTGTGGGTGCCTTTACATCATACATGCTGTTGTAAGGTCGCTTGCGGTCGTCCAGCTCCTCTGAAATGATATTTTTCTTTTCCTTCTCCTTGTGCTTTTCTTTCTGCTTTCGCTGCTCCTTGGCCTTCTTCTTCTTTTCGCCCTTCTTCGATTTCTTCTTAGACTTCTTTTTCTCAGGCTTCACCTCTTCCTCGGAGGACGAAGATTCCGAACTTGGCGCTGAGTCTACTTCGGAGGCGGGCTTTTCGGGAGTATTTTCTGTCAATCTAGGTGGAATATGAGTGGCTTCTGGTGCAGCTACCGATGTGGAGCTTGTGGGATGTGCTTCTGAATAACCCTCAGGTTCCTGCATGCCCACGCAGTATGAGTTCTTGATGAAGGACTTGCAGCATTTGTAGCCCCAACGACCGGCATTCCAAAAGCTTCCCCAAACTGTTGTGTGGTTGTTGATGTAAACATCCTCTTCGTAGATACTACGCGCTTTTGGTTTCTCCACGCCTTTAATAACCTTGCCACTGCGGGAATACTCGATATACTCCTCCGTCTGTGCGAGCAGAAGCGACTTGGGAGGCACCTGCAGATGCTCCTCACCGCCGTATTTCTCCACAATGTGTGTTTTTGTCTGAAAGAAAAGGGTCTTATTTATTTCATCCATAAGGATTTAACCTCTTTACTTACACTTGACTTGAACTGTTCTTTCTTTTGCTCATACTCTTTTTGGAGCAACTCCAACTTGGTGGGTTCTGCCAGCAGATGTACATCGACTCCCTTACCATGCGCTTCCCAGGCAAATAGCTGGGCGGTCGCCTGCGCTGTGGTGTCTCCTGAGAAACGTACAAAGTTTTCGCCAGCAAACTCAGCCCTAGAACGGCACACACGTTAGTCTATCTTTGTTTGATAAAGAAAATATTACTTACTCTTCTGCAGGAACTTGTGGATTGGGATTATCACGCATGGAGCGCGTTTTGGGATCGTAATATGCAGAGTTAGGGTCCAAGTTTCTCAGATATTTCGCTGTGTCCTCGCGAATTCGCAAGTTTCGCACTGTGATACGCTGTTTGGAGTCCACCTTGGTGCCAGGCATATCAACTTCGTCTACATACTTGTCCTCGTTACCTTCCTCGTCGGATATTTCGGCATCAGGATCTGCGAAACATAAATTAAGTAAATACATAACTCATGATGGGATAAAAGACTTTCATTGAGATCCTACCATTCTTGAGTTTCTCGGCTTTCAGTTGTCGTTTGGCCTCCTCTACCTTCTCGTACTCCTCGATGATCTCCCGGTGGTTAGCAGGATCATAGCTACTCCAGCGATCCCGCTTCTCATCGTAGTTAACAGCTTCATCGTTAACCAGATGCTCGTCATGTACAAGGATAGACTCTGCATATTTAGCCTGCACCTTACGGGGTCTCTCCAAGCAGTCCTTCCGCTTATGTGTAAGGGCACCACAGTTCTCGCAAGCACCTTTCCGGAATTTGGTAACAATCCGTGTAGTGTCCAGACCCTTCGGTCCACGTTTGTCAAGCTGGCCCCGTTCGTCCTCATGCTGTGGCCGCTGGTGCTTCAGCGTGGGGCCCTGGGATCCATAGTACCAGGGGGCATTCGAAATATATTGGGGAATGTGCGGATTGATGTCGCGACCCTCTTCGTCAACGGCAGCTGGAGCTGTACCGGCCTTTCGGGCCTCCTCAAGCTCCTTAGCCTTGCGCCAGTCTTCGCGCGACTTCTTCTTTGGTTCCTCGTCGGCATCCTGATCATCCTTGTTGTGGATGATCTGCGAAACGGGCGTGCGCATAGGCCCCGAACTCATTTTGTTGCTATTTTATTTATTTACTTTTCTGAAATTTGATGTATTTTCTTCTTCTTTTGTTAACTTAAGTAAGTGTTGAAAACCGTAAAAACTATCGTAAAATTGGCGATAGTTACTAGGAAACATTTATATTTTTATTTTAATTGTATAATAATCGTTTTTACTTATAATTGAAATGGGTAATTAAAAATGTTATAACTCGTTTAATTATAAAATTTCCACTATCGATCCTAATTTAACAGATTTTTAACAGCTGTAAACATACGCTCTGTTAGCAAATCAGTTTTGCAACACTGTTTGTAAAAAAGAAAATCTAATGGAATGTGACCGTTTTTAGTGGAATTCGCGCAAGAGGAAAAGCTGCTTTTCTTTGGGGTGGTGAAAACTTTCGTTTTTAGAAAAGATAGATCAAATATAAAAGTTGCCAGCTATGCAACGGAAAATGCTGGACACTGTGATTTTGTGAAACATCTCGAATTCGTCAAAGAACAAGGAAATTCCTCAAGATACCAATCAATTGAAACGCTGTGCAAACAGGGTGCGTGTAACTGTGTGCGTGTGTGTATAGTATTCTAGCTGAAACACTTTTCTCTAATATATCAGCTTCTGCGCGCCTCGCCTCTACATTTTTTCTCTATATACCAACAATAGGGAGAGCGAGAATGGAAAAAGTGCACATACATAAAAAAACATAAACAAGACTTCAAATATTTGATTGTTTACATCTTTTTTAGACATTTTTCGTTATTTAAAAAACAAATTTCTGTGAATAAATGAGATACAAGTTTTTTAGTGAAATTGCCCCTGATAATATGCTGAATATCTGATAGTAAAAATTGGGATTTTGAAAAAACCGCCAATCACCCACCACTAGTTACCAACACTGGTTACGTTTGCAGCACTCATTAGTGTCAAACTGACAGCTGGAAGGCCTTCGTTTTCACCAATTAGAAAATTACAAATTTTCCAATTGGATTTATTATAGTCGAACATTTAGTTAATTGGGCGCACTTTGTTGCGTTTTTTAAAGTGTTCTTTTCGGTGTGCGTGGGAGACGTGCCTCGCGAGTGGATTGGTGGGTGGCTGGGGGGCAAGTGTGTTCCTGGGGAGCAGCATTAGAATTGCTTGTTATTCCCTCTTTGTTGTTTTATCTGCGAAAAAACCTGGGCTCCTATGTTTGTGTGTGTATGTGCCATACATGCACACCAGAAATTTGCATAAAAAAGTGAGCAAGCAGGCATTATGATATGTAATCAAAGCTAAATGACAATGAAAAGTTCTCTATTTGTAAGAGCGTGTGTGGGGGGTGGGGATGGGGCTGGCAAATGGTCGCCACTTGTTTCCATTAAATTCTGAAATTAGAAAATTCTTTGTACACCAATTGCTTAACGGATTGAGATGCAAATTTGGCGCAGTGTACACACAAAAAAAAATAAAAAAAGAAACAATCATCAGTGTGGGAATTGCGAAGCAAGCTAAGTTGCACTCCTTGGAATGATTTATATGCCAGAAATATTAGCAGAGCAGATGATGGTCGTGTACTATTTTCGATTTTCTGTTTCACGGACTGTTGTCGTTTGAGCGATTGCCTAATGGCCCCATCTTAGTACACACACAAATATAAGCAGGCACGATTGTTGAAAAAATATTAGTGGTTCTATGTTGGTTTATATTTAAAAATAAAAATTAAATATTAAAATTTAAAAAAAAAAAACTATTCAACCATTACAATGTTCACGGTTTTCAAAAACCTTTTGTATATATTTATAAGGAAAGTTTTCTTGTATTATTTTTCGGTTGGAAATATGATTTAATAATTTAATACTTTTAACTTCAAAATAAAATACATAAACCACTCTTATCCTGACCGCAAATGTAGAACATTCTCTATGTAGATAAATTCCAACGATTCGAGGGGCAGGCGACCTTGAGAGTGAATCGAGTGTACCGCATACGCCATTCATGGGTGTCAATGACCTACACTAACATTGCCCCACAGAGAAAGCAGCCAGCAAGCCAGCGCCACTCGACCGTTTCATTAATAAATTCTCAACCGATCTTGTCGTCGCCACAGATCACCATCCCACACACCGCAAACCACAAGCACAGCTGAGTAGTGCCATCACTGCTCCCGACCGCATACACCGACCCTTACATACACACCAGACATACGCGGAGCTGAGGACACCAAGGATCAGGCGCACGGGGACTCGATTCTAGAGGCGGGAGCACCAACGGGCAACGGGCGACCATGTTTACGGGAAAGCTGCAGATCAAGGTGTGCGAGGCGAGTGGCCTGCGGCCCACAGATTTCCAGAAGCGCCACAACCTTACCTTTGGCAAACTAGCCGACGAGCAGCTCATAGATCCCTACGTGACCATAGATGTCGATGATAATCATTTTGGTGAGTTGTTTTAAGATGTTTTTTTGTTATTTTAGTTAATTTTTATGAATATTTCTATTTAGATCGTGCCACGACCCGGCCAAAGACCTTCGATCCTGTTTGGAATGAGCAGTTCGTCCACGATGTGAACAATGCCAAGAACATCAACTTGACCGTTTTCCACGATGCCGCTCTGCCGCCAGATGACTTTGTTGCCAATTGCATCATCTCGTTCGAGGATCTCATGCAGAGCGAGACGGCTGTGCAAGATCTATGGGTATGTTTGAAATCATTCAATTATTGGGTATTTATTTTAAAAGGGGATTTGGGTCAAAGCCCAGACTTTTATTCTAAAAAATCACTATTTTCTTATCTTCAAGGTTAATTTGGAGCCTCAGGGCAAGATTCATGTTATAATCGAGCTGAAAAATCGTAATGGTATGTAAAAATATATATTTCTTTTAATAAATAAATAAATAATTACTACTTTCATATACTTGTAGATCAAGCCAAAGCTGAGGCCGAGGTGGAGCACACCGTGGCCGTTAATAAGGAGTTCAAAGAGCGCGCTGGCTTCAATCGCCGCCGCGGTGCCATGCGACGTCGAGTGCACCAGGTCAGTTACTTAAATATCTTTCTAAAAGTTGCACTTTTTACATGATATCCACTTCCTTTCCCAGGTAAATGGTCACAAGTTCATGGCAACGTTTTTGCGTCAACCCACCTTCTGTTCGCATTGCCGCGAGTTTATCTGGTAAGTGAACAGTCCAGTCCAGTACACATACATACGTACTCACAGCCGGGTTGAACATCTCCGTACATCCCCAAGTTGTATCCTGCAGTGATTAATCTAAACATGCATTTAGTTTCGGGACCTTATTCTACACATCTCTCTCACCATCTGACTCTATTTTTGATTTTATTTGATTTGGTTTGATCGAATTGGACACGGTTTGATCGATCGGCTGGTTTTATGTTTCTAATGTATCCACTATCATCTAATCCACTATCATCATCGGCTCTATCATTCACTGACTCATATTTCGGCTCTTATTTGTGGGTGGCTCTCACTATTAGCAAGTTATTATTTTCCTAGTTTGCATCGGCATTTAACTGGTGGTCACCTTATTTCCCTTATGCGGGTCTCATCCTTTTGGGTTGCTCTATTCGCTGGCTTGGGTCGCGGGGTCATTGGTATCATGCTTGGATTTAATTTCCAGTGGGCTTCCTTCCATCGGCGGTTCTATCATTCATCCAAAAGTACTCGCACTCACAACACAATTAAACACACAACAAATCATTCAGTTTCCAAATATATATACATACAATAGCCATGGAATTTCTTGCCTTTTTGCAGGGGAATTGGTAAACAAGGCTATCAATGTCAAGGTATGTGTTTTGCTTCAGACTAAATGGAAAACCAGAGCAGCTCAGCTCTGGCGCTTTGGAGCTTAGTAGCTTTGGAGCTCCAGGAGCCTCGGAGCCCCTGGACAAGCTATCAAGCCCAAATCTCATATCACTTTGCATTTGCTTGTTTCGTTCGTTCGTTGTTCTTGATGTTGTTCGTTGTTCGTTGTTCGCTGTGGTTGCCATTGAGTTTCTCTTAGGGAAACGAAAGCATTTGGTTGCAAGTCTTAAGCCTGTCCTTTTTTTTTTCTTGTACCATGTGGCATGAATCTCTGCCACCATTTGTGAAGTCTTCCGCATTGCCCAATGCATCCATCACCTTGCTCGTTCCATGCTTGAGTCATGATTCTTCGGAAACAGTCTAGTGTCCTGGCACAGGTCCTCTCCTCACTGCACCACTAATCGAAAAGGACGAGTCCTGCTCTCGTTTCCATTACATGAAACTTAAAAATTAATCAAATGGAATGAACATCTCAACTTACTAATTAATACTCGGGATTAAGTGAAATGTCCTTTTTTCTAATTTAAGAACCATTATTTTGTCCGTCTGTCGTTAAAAAAAATGAGTATTTTTAAATCTTTATGCATGTTGTGGGTATAACACTTGAAATCTTTAGAACATTAAGATTTAGGCAAGTTTTAAACCCTAATTAATGTCAAATAATAGAAATAGGTTCCTATTTTATATCCTGATTCACCGTTTTTGAGTCAAAGAATATATAGGTTTATATCTTTTGATGTTTTTCATATCTTATTGCGATTTTTTCTCTCTCATAAGTAGTTCTTGTTTCAAAATCTGGCACGAAACATATACATAAGTGTTGTGTTTAAAACTTGGTGTACACCGAAAAACTAATTAGAGCACAGACCGAGCACAAAACTCAACTAAACTCCACTGATCAACATGTGAATAATTACACTGCACAAAAAAAACAAACAAATCTAAAACTGTCAACGATTTTTTTTAACCAGTTTTTGGTCCTCCAGGGCCACTTTGTGTCTAACCCTGAATGTTTCAAGCTTGAGCTAAACGAAATCCTGTAAATATACACATTCGTATGTCTAGAGTTTTAGTTACGAAAAGATATTGTCATAGTTTTTGAATTTAAGCTATATTTTAATTAATAAAATTATTAAAATTTATACTTTTTTGAGATCCAATATAAATGTGACAATCTCTTTTCTGGAGTGCTTAGTTGCCATAGATTTTTTATACTTTGCCTTGCACTCTGTCATCAAAGATCTGAGAAGCGCCAGTCTCAAAGTGTGGTTATTAATCGTATTGCTTTGGTTTCTCTCCCTTCCCCGGAAACACAAACTATTAAAACCATCTAGTCTGCACGTTAGTTGTACATAAGAAATGCCATATGTCCGTGGTGTCCAAGTGTCCGGGCATGCGAGATGAGGTAAGTCCGTGGTCTACCCTCAACCGATCCACCAAAATAATAATTATTCATTTTTGGAATCACAGCAAGCCAAAGTGGAGGTGGTGCCGGCGGGCCAAAGGTTCAATGTGAACATGCCGCACCGCTTCGTGGTGCACAGCTACAAGCGGTTCACATTCTGCGACCATTGCGGGTCCCTCCTTTATGGGCTGATAAAGCAGGGCCTGCAGTGCGAGACCTGCGGCATGAACGTGCACAAGCGCTGCCAGAAGAACGTGGCCAACACCTGTGGCATCAACACGAAGCAGATGGCCGAGATCCTCAGTTCGCTGGGCATTTCGCCGGACAAGCAGCAGCCGCGACGCTCCAAGTATCTTAACCAGCAGGGCGGCGAGGACAATTACGGCGCATCCCTGGGACCCGATGGGGAGGCAGGTCCGGGCCAGTCCTTCCGCAGTGGCACGCTCTCGGCGGACAGTTTGGCCACCTCCACCGCGACCCTGACCAGTGGCTACAACAGCAGCAGTTGCATGAGCCTGGCGGTAGGCGGTGGAGTGGCCGGCGGCGGTGGGGGCGGCGCCACCGGGGAGACCCGGCCGGGCAAGTGCTCCCTGCTGGACTTTAACTTTATCAAAGTGCTGGGCAAGGGCTCCTTCGGCAAGGTGATGCTGGCCGAGAAGAAGGGCACCGACGAGATCTACGCCATTAAGGTGCTGAAGAAGGACGCCATCATCCAGGACGACGACGTCGACTGCACCATGACGGAGAAGCGCATACTGGCGCTGGCCGCCAATCATCCCTTCCTGACTGCGTTACATTCCTGTTTCCAGACCCCGGACCGGCTCTTCTTTGTGATGGAGTACGTCAACGGTGGCGATCTGATGTTCCAGATCCAGAAGGCGCGTCGCTTCGAGGCCGCTCGGGCAGCCTTCTATGCGGCGGAGGTGACACTCGCGTTGCAGTTCCTCCACGCCCACGGCGTCATCTATCGCGACCTGAAGCTGGATAACATATTGCTGGACCAGGAGGGTCATTGCAAGCTGGCCGACTTCGGTATGTGCAAGGAGGGCATCATGAACGGCATGTTGACCACTACCTTCTGCGGCACGCCCGACTACATTGCCCCTGAGATCCTTAAGGAGCAGGACTACGGCGCATCTGTCGACTGGTGGGCGCTGGGTGTGCTCATGTACGAGATGATGGCCGGACAGCCGCCGTTCGAGGCAGACAATGAAGACGAGCTTTTCGACTCGATCATGCACGATGACGTCCTGTACCCCGTTTGGCTATCTCGCGAAGCCGTTTCCATCCTAAAGGGTAAGTAGATGCAGTGCCTCTGTATTATATTTTTTATAATTTAATATTTTTTGAACAGGTTTTCTAACCAAGAATCCGGAACAGCGTCTGGGCTGTACGGGAGATGAAAACGAAATACGCAAACATCCATTTTTCAACAAGCTCGACTGGAAGGAGCTTGAGAAGCGCAATATAAAGCCGCCATTCCGACCGAAAATGGTAAGTTTTCATTCAAATAAATTTTAAAAAGTATCTAATTATAATCAAATCGAATCATTTATAGAAAAATCCGCGTGATGCCAACAATTTTGATGCGGAGTTTACCAAGGAGGATCCGGTGCTGACACCGATTGGCAACGAGGTCATACGCTGCATCAATCAGGACGAATTCGCCGGCTTCTCTTTTGTCAATCCCAAGTTTGGACCGGAGAGAAAAGTCTACTAAGAGGCCCATCGATCGCAGTTCATGTTCACCCGTCACTTTGATTGGTCGCGATCCGGTCTGAGCCACTATTAGTGGATCCTCCGATGGTGGATCCTATCCAGATCAGACCGATTGGATCTGTCATTCAGCGTGTGGCGCATGCGTGTACCCTAGCACAAGCTGAATAATATTTTAGTTTATCTCCTCCACCTCTTCCCGGTGAACGCTTATTTGTTGTCTGTTTCCAGCGGATCGGTTCAGATCGGATCAGATCACTCATCCCACATCCACAACTACCAGTGCCAATTGTCGTGGGCAGTGCGAAACTGCTGAAATTGCTAGGCTTCATAACATGAATATTGCAAACGCATCTGGACACGAATTGTTAAGCCCTTGTTAACCAAACTTTCCCCCCGAAATCCTTAACCTTCTTAAGCTTCAAGCCTTTTTCCCATATAAATTTATTTATGTTGTTTGCCAGCCAAAAAAGCAAAAAAAAAAAAAAAGAAAAAGAAATTAAGTAGCCCCACCCCCATCTAGTCAATGCCCAGTGGCTGAGTGCATTTTGTTATTAGTTATTTATTGATTGTTTGACGTTGACGTGTCGAATCTCATGTTTCGCACTCACAGACCGACAGCATCTATGTATTTTTCTGGAGGCGAGGCACTTGCTCCAAAGCGAATCTCAAGGGAATTTCTAACACAATAGCCGCAATGTGCCGTCTGTACCATACACACAATATACACACAATACAATATAAATACATCCACTATGTATTTGGATGCACAAATTTATTATTTTTATTTTGTTTTATGTATTTAAAATTTGCACAACTTCCTTCTCAAGTATTAAAGCGATATTATTTTTAAATTACCTTATTGTTACGCATAAAAATATTTATAAAAAAAAAATGAAAATTAAAAGAAAAGAAAAGAACAATTTCAAGCCAAACACCTAATACAAATTGCCTACAATTTACCAACAAAGAGAATGTAACGCTAAATTAATCATAGAAAAAAAGCTAAAATGAAGAGAATGTCTAAAGAGAATCATATTAATTTTATGCTAAACAAATTATGAATACAAACAAATGTGTTTAGTCTGTAAGCCGATGGAGAGGAGGTCAAAGAAATTATATATATATACACCTATATGAACCATATAAATTGTGAAACTAAAGGCATATATAATACACACCCACGCCCACACCCAAGAACAAAAACACAAATCCAACAAATGAAACACTTAGCGTAATGAGGGAAAGCAGTGGAAAGTTATAAGAAATTATGTGGCATAGGATGACTAGGAGATAAAACAATATTAATGTTTATGTGTTGATTTTAAAGCCAAAGACTCAAAGCAAAATTCTATATATGTATGAACTAACTAACCGAAGGCAAATTTTAGCATAACGCATCGAAATTTGATCAGTATCCTTTTATTGTTATTACTATGATTATTATTTATTCAATAACTTATTTGTGTGGCTTACTGATTTGTTTCTGTTACAACTGATTTCATCCAACCACAGAAGAAGGAATCATTATATGAATAATAAATAAATAACTAGAATGAAGAAGAGCAAGGACGGATAACAGAAAATTTATTAACTATAAGCAGCGTTGTTAACTAAATAAAAAAAAGAAACAAAATCAAGGCAAAGGCAGGCATAAACACACAGATTTGTATGTATTAATAAAGCCCTGTGTCTAATAATATTTGTGAAATAGCAAAACCGGCGTAAGCGCCAGTTACCCATTTACAATTTAAATGTTAACCCAAAGTATTTTCAAGAACGCATTTTACCAAAACAAAAAAAAAATAAAAACAAAAGGAGAAGCATCAAAACCAAAATAACAAAATTTAAGGACTAATGTTGAAGAAACATAGACAAAATGTTCAGAGTGCAAGAAATTAATTTTTTAAACAATGAGCTCAACTTGCCAGTCGATTGAGGCCGTTGCAAGTACAGTGGCGATTATTCAATTATAAATAAAGGATAAACAAAAATTAAATAAAGTAAAAACTCTCAAAAAAATACATAAAAACGAATCGCATCCAGCCAGTAAGAAGAACTCATATGAACATAGTCTGTTGAATACGACCAGGAATAGGCAGGAATAAATATTAAAGTTTGCGGGTTGTTATTAAAAGTGTTAGCAGAGGGATTAAAGGATAATAGAAACGGATCAGGAGAGAAACAGGAAAGTTTATTAAAAAAAAAAAAGAAAACACAAAAATCGCTTAAACCGTAACCTGAGTAAAAAGCAAAAGCTATAGGAAACTGTGCAACAAATGTTAGATGTAAGTCCACTTGAAATAAGCAAAGTTGAACGCTCCCCCGCCCGCTGTTGTCTCCATCTACTTACTAAACCCGAAATATTGACAATTTTTCATTGCTTCAAAAGGGTTCATCTACTTAACTTTGAATGTACTCACTCGATCAGCTTAGCTAACTTTTTCTGGAGCCACGCCGCTCAAACTCAACTCAACTCAACTCAACTCCACTCACTCTAATGAACAAACTTACATACATATGTGCAACTTTTTCATGTACCTTTTGCATCTTAGATACTTAAAGAGAAATTACACTCGAAGGATTATTAACGGGAGCCCCCGCAAATTGTTAACTGATCTAAGGCGAACTACACACAAACTACTAAGAGGAAATATTGAATTATTTATTGAAAGGCGTACAAAACTAAAGCGCGACAAACTGAGAAGTAGAAAAATTGCAGAATCATAGCATGAATAATAATCGTAAACAGAAAGTATTCAGAAATAAAAACACACAAAGCACCCACAAATCAGAGGAAAAGGAAAACCAACCTGAAACTGATGAAAAAGCATAAATAAAATTTAAGTTATGTTTAAACCAGAGATAAATAACTATAATGGTAAAGTCGAAAGTCAACAGTTGATATGTTGTAAAAAAAGCTATTAAAGAAAAAATATGGTATGGAAAGATTTACCAAGAAAGCAAAGTGAGTGTTAAAACTAAATGAATGGTAGAAGCAGACGTGCAAAGATAACCAAAGAAAGCAAATTGAAAACAAGAAAAATTGATTTATAACATTAAGTGAAAACTAATTAATAAATAAAGAGGTAACACCTATGAAAATGTAACGGACATGTGTGAATATTTTTTTAAATTTTAGTGTGGCGGGGCAGTTAAAGGAGAATCCGTAGAGTAAAGTCAAAAGATCTTATTAAGTAAAATTTCTTGGATTTTCCTTTATTACTTTTTGAAAGTTGAACTTTTAAAAAACTTTAGGGAATGTTTTCAAAACAGGAAAATTAAACTTTTCTGCGAAAAACATTCTGTTAATGCTTAACAGAAGAGTTATCGGTGTTATCGGTACATCTCTAGTTTCTGTTAACTAACAGCGCACATGTTGCCTTCAAATAACAAGAAGCAGAGTCAAAACAAATATTTTGTATAGAATATTTTGGATTTAAAAAAAAAGCTACCAGCCAGTCAAAATGCCAAAGGTGAAAACGGAGAAGAAAACTCGCATCCACACTGAGGTGCAAAAGCAAGGTGATTATTTCCAAATTTCTATAGGTTTCTCCTATTTATTTTGTTATGTACCCCCAGGTATCGTTTTCAACAAGGATTTCGGACAGCACATTTTGAAGAATCCTTTGGTGATTACGAGCATGTTGGAGAAGGCTGCCCTGCGTCCCACTGACGTGGTGCTGGAAATTGGTCCAGGTACCGGTAACATGACTGTTCGTATGTTGGAGAAGGCGAAGAAGGTTATTGCCTGCGAAATCGACACCCGGCTCGCAGCTGAGCTCCAAAAACGTGTCCAGGCTACGCCACTGCAACCCAAGCTTCAGGTGCTTATCGGAGACTTTTTGAAGGCTGAGCTGCCCTTCTTCGACCTGTGCATTGCCAACGTTCCCTACCAGATCAGTTCGCCACTGATCTTCAAGCTGCTCCTTCACCGTCCGCTCTTCCGCTGCGCGGTTCTTATGTTCCAGCGTGAGTTTGCCCAACGCCTTGTGGCCAAGCCGGGGGACAAGTTGTACTGCCGCCTCAGCATAAACACCCAGCTGTTGGCCCGCGTCGACATGCTCATGAAGGTGGGCAAAAACAACTTCAAGCCGCCACCAAAGGTTGAGTCTAGCGTAGTGCGTCTGGAGCCCAAGAATCCTCCTCCGCCGGTCAATTTCACAGAGTGGGACGGTTTGACGAGAATCGCTTTCCTTCGCAAAAACAAAACGCTGGCGGCTACCTTTAAGGTATCCTCCGTGATCGACATGCTCGAGAAGAACTACAAGTTGTATCGCTCTCTGAGAAACGAGGTAGGCCCTACTATAATTCATCTTCAAATAAATCAATCTCAAATACTTTGACCATTATTTTCGCAGCCCGTGGAGGATGACTTCAATATGCAAGACAAAGTCATTGGCATCTTAGAAGAACTGGACATGGCCACTAACCGTGCGAGATCCATGGACATTGACGACTTTATGCGACTCCTGTTGGCCTTCAACTCAGCGGGAATACACTTTAATTAGTCCTATTTATTGTAATTTATATTGTTAATCTTTGTATGATAGAAACAACATTAATATAAATGTTAAGCCAACGGTTTTTTAAACTGATACTGATCAGTCAAGATTATCTTTCTAAGGTGGTATATACTATGTTTAGGAACAGCTGATGGAGAGCGGGATTAGCGACGATCGAAGCTTTGTTAAACTGCGCAATTAAAAACTAGTTGATAAACATTGATTCGATCAGTCGCGAGACGATCGTGTTCACCGGCAGTTCATTTATCAATAGCGGTCTATCATGTTTCGGTCTATCTTTCTGCTGATCTCCCTTGCCAGCAATCTCGTTCTTGGTCAAAACCCTGATCCTGCGGTTCAAAAAGGTGAGTTTAGGTCAACTTTCAGTAAAGAGTTTCTATTATTTTCATCTACCTTAGCGTGCACTCTATTCAAAAAGCATGTTTTCGAGGAACGGGTGGCCATTAGCTTCTTGTTTCCCAATGCACCAATTACATGGGAAACACTCGATTCCTGCCATGGATCGCGGCCGTTAATTGTGGACGGAGATCCGGCAGAGTCCAAGGAATTTCCTCATGCAGCTCGTCTTGGCCACAGGAATGCTAAAAATGAAACCAAATGGTTCTGTGGTGGCACATTGATCAGCAACCGTCTGGTTCTCACGGCAGCACATTGTTTCTACACCGAACAGTGAGTCTTACAAGGCTACTTTCTGGGGGATTTAAAATAATCCTTATCGGTCTTTCAGTGGAGCAGTCAATGTCGTTCGATTGGGAGAACTCTGGTTCGACACCGATGAGGACGACGCCGAGCCGGAAGACTTTGGTGTATTGCGCTCCATAGAGCATCCGGACTTCAAGGACCTTTACAACGACATCGGTATGGTGCGTCTAGATCGGGCTGTTAACTTCAGCCTGTATAAGCACCCCGCCTGTTTGCCATTTGACGACGGAGAGATCCACGATAAGTTCATTGCCATAGGCTGGGGTCAGAAGGCGCTGGCCCAGGCAGAGTCCAAGAAGCTGCTAAAAGTGGAGCTGCGAAACTACCATCAACGCTGTCTAGTCACTACGGAAAAGAACGAAGACCTGCCTGATGGATTCAATGCCACCACTCAACTGTGCATTGGGTCGCCGGACAGCAAGGACACCTGCAACGGAGACTCTGGAGGCCCGGTGCTAGTCTACCATAAAGACTATCCATGCATGCAGCATGTAATGGGGATCACATCCACAGGGATAAGCTGCGACACCCCGGATGTGCCCAGCGTCTACACAAGGGTCAGCCACTATCTTAAGTGGATCAAAGAGGAAATGGCCAAAGTTACCTGATGTTTGAATCTATAACTATTAAGAACAGATTTCTTAGTAAAGCTTTAATTGCATGCATTTTAAAAATAACTCCCGATAATTTGCATTTGTTTATTGGAAAGGCAGTCGCTGAAATTATTTAAACACTCTCCCAACCGGTTTCCGTGTAATGTCAAAGCGTGAAAATGTGTTTTTTGATGATTATAGCTTGTGTCCGTTCCTGAAGATTTAATAAATTTCCAATTTTACAAACTTTGAACTGATTTGGAAAACAATTTCTCATCAAGAAGCTGACGGACTTTCCCAGGGCTTAATACCTCTCCTGGGGAGATTACGATGCACTCGAGTATCTCTCATAGATTAGCTTTATGATTTCTATAAGTCAGTAGCTTACTGATCGTGACAACAATCGGACGATGGAAGCTGTGTTTTCTGGGAAGCTTTTTCAACTGAAAGTAATCTTGTGGCTTCTAACCACATACTGGGTGGCGGCTCAAGATGCGGATATAGTAAGCAGTGGGTGATCTAGTAAACTGAAATATTTCCAGCCTTAATGATAACCGATTTTCGTTAATAGCCTGTACCGGATACAAAACAAGTCTGTTTGAAGAAGTCGCTGAATTCAGCCTACTGTACGAGGGTGCACCGGTTATCAGAAAGACCCGAAACAAGTGCAAAGCCTATGCACCCGTTATCATTGGCGGGGCACCTGCGATTCCCAAGGAATTTCCTCATGCCGCCAGGCTCGGTCATCGCGACGATGAAGGCGAAGTTAACTGGTTTTGTGGTGGGACACTAATTAGTAACCGGCACGTTCTAACCGCAGCACATTGCGTTTTGAGTTTTGAGTAAGTTTTTAAGTTTTATATAGGGTTTTTTTTTTATTAATCAATAAATAATCTTTTCTGCCATTTATTGATATAAAATTCACATATCGACTTTCGCATGGCTTTCAATTATCAAGATCAATAATCGTTATAGTGCGTATTGTAGAACTACTATTTCATATTTGGGATATTAAAGCACTTTATTTTGAAAAATTCCCTAAAGCCTCAGCATCAAGCTAGAAAATAGTCATTCTTGTTCCAATACGCCACGATTCTGAACATCCTCTAATCATTAAATATTATTGTTTATTTATGAAATCGTATATCTTCCAGGGGAGCCATTAATATTGTCCGTCTAGGAGAGCTGGAGTTTGACAACAACCAGGATGATGCCCTGGACTTTGGACTGAGGAAGGGAAACCCATTGTACATCCCGGCTATGAACATCCGGTCATCTACGACGACATCGCCATATTGAAACTGGATAGAAATGTCACGTTTAATGAATACAAGCACCCGGCATGTTTGCCCTTCGAGGATGGACGAAAGAGTAATAGTTTTGTTGCTATTGGCTGGGGACAGACCGCGCTGGTTCCACGTCCTGGCTCTGAAAGCAGTAAAATTTTGAAAAAGGTCAAGCTCCTAAACTTTAGGACTCGATGCCAGCTCACGGCGGAGAAAAACGAGGAACTGCCAAATGGCTATAATGCTTCTAGCCAAATCTGCATTGGATCCAATGAACCAAGCCATGATACCTGCAACGGAGACTCCGGCGGGCCGGTTCTGACCTACCACAAGGACTTCCCCTGTTTGTACCACGTGATGGGGATTACTTCTGTCGCTGTGGCCTGCGACACTCCCGATTTTCCAGGGATGTATACTAGGGTTCATTTTTATCTAGACTGGATCAAACGGGAGATGGCCAAAAATTAACAAATATTAATGAGTATTTAAAGAAATTCAATACTAGATCGGTATAGAAAAAATGTAAATGTAGATTTTTAATATATAAATGAGCTATCTGACAAAGTGGCGTATAAACATTGTATATTATCGAGCTTGTCCAAGCATTTAATTTGCATAACTATTAATGAAAAAGTAAACAAATCAGTTTTATGGTGGGTTAATTGTTTTCGCTGAACTTGCTTGATTCTGGGGATTTCTGGTAGCTTTTACCCGCTTGAACCTAGACGCCGCCCCACTGGGGCCAAGCCCATCTGCTCGATCGCTCTCTGATCGGAGGCCAAACCCGTTCAGATCGAAGTGTTAAGCCTCAGTCGATTGGCGAACGTCTCTAAATCTGGGGTGAAGATGTCTCAGGCACTGATAGCTGCCGTATTGGTAGCACTTCTACCAAGTATTTTTGGCCAGCTCCCGGATGTAGTCAAGTGTAAGTACCCAGTAATGATGTGGTCAGTAAATATAACATCTATAACATAATCGTTTCAGCTTGCAAAAGATATAAACAGCAAATATTTGAGGAGACGGTGCAATATAGTTTCTTGTTTCCCGGAGCTACGATTGAAACCTTCACCATCGATAATTGCCGGAGTTATACGCCTTTGATTGTTGGTGGGCATCCGGCACAGCCCCGGGAGTTTCCGCACATGGCCAGGCTAGGACGCCGTAATGGAAATGGAGGGCAAACTAACTGGTTCTGCGGAGGTGTCCTGATTAGTGCCCGGTTTGTTCTTACCGCTGCCCATTGCCTGGAGTCGGATCAGTAAGTTTTTTGTCTGGAAACTGAATAATTTTTGTTCTAATTATTTGAATCCTTAGAGGCGAAGTAAATGTTGTACGACTGGGGGAATTAGATTTCGAATCTGGGGAAGATGATGCCTCACCCAGAGATTATAATGTGGCTGAATACATAACCCATCCTGGTTATGAGGACCCACAGTTTTACAACGATATTGGGCTAATAATGCTGGGGGAAAAAGTTGTCTTCGACCTATACAAACATCCTGCTTGCCTTCCATCCGAAGACGAGCGGAACTCAAACTCCTACATAGCTGTGGGTTGGGGCAGCACAGGTTTAGTGGGGACTCCTTCATCGATGCTGCAAAAAGTAATGCTGGATCGCTACGGAAGTGGAGTAAGTGCATCTATACATGTTTAAACTTCAAATCTATAATCGTTCACCCTCGCAGGTGTGTCAGAAACTAGTGACTCGTCAGCTTGAGGAATTCCCGGAAGGATTTAACGGCAGAACCCAACTCTGTGTGGGCTCTGAAATGGCCAGAGACACTTGCAACGGCGACTCCGGCGGACCTTTGCTGATGTACCACAAAGACTTCCCGTGCATGTATAATGTCATTGGCATTACATCAGCAGGTCTATCATGTGGTACGCCGGGAATCCCAGGAGTTTACACGCGGATATTCCCATATCTCGATTGGATCACAAAAACAATGTCGAAGTATTAGTTAATAATTAATAACTTTGTTATTTATACACACAATTAGCATGTCTCTTTATTGAAATAGGTAATTGACTTTCATATTTATTAGTAAAGATACAGCAATCAATGATAGCTGTATTGCTATTACTACGCATTCTTTCAAATCAAGAAAAATTCAAAGCATCCCTCCGAAAATTTTGAAAAAAATCGAAAAAATATTTTGTCCCCAGATTTTGATGCAGATTTAAGGATTCAAATCATTTAAGGTACTCCGCTTGAGAATCGGATAAATATTGGCAACGATATAGCCTGCGCTGGTGGCCATATTCGTGGCCTATGCATTTTTCTCATTTTAACGGGAATGTCCCAGAAAATTTTGAAAAAAATCGAAAAAATATTTTGTTCCCACATTTTGATGCAGATTGATGGAGAATCGATCTACAAATCATTTAAGGTACTCCGTTTGAGAATCGGATAATAATTGACAAAGATATGGCTTTAGCTGTGGGCCATATTTGTGATCTATGCATTTTGACCACTTTTGAAGGGGATGCCCCAGAAAATTTGGAAAAAAATCTAAAAAATATTTGGTTTCCAGATTTTGATGCAGATTGATGGAGAATCGATCTACAAATCATTTAAGGTACTCCGTTTGAGAATCGGATAAATATTGACAAAGATATGCCTTTAGCTGTGGGCCATATTTGTGATCTATGCATTTTGACCACTTTTGAAAGGGATGCCCCAGAAAATTTCGAAAAAAATCTAAAAAATATTTGGTTTCCAGATTTTGATGCAGATTGATGGAGAATCGATCTACAAATCATTTAAGGTACTCCGTTTGAGAATCGGATACTGATTGACAAAGATATGGCTTTAGCTATGGGCCATATTTGTGATCTATGCATTTTGACCACTTTTGAAGGGGATGCCCCAGAAAATTTGGAAAAAAATCTAAAAAATATTTGGTTTCCAGATTTTGATGCAGATTGATGGAGAATCGATCTACAAATCATTTAAGGTACTCCGTTTGAGAATCGGATACTGATTGACAAAGATATGGCTTTAGCTATGGGCCATATTTGTGATCTATGCATTTTGACCACTTTTGAAGGGGATGCCCCAGAAAATTTGGAAAAAAATCTAAAAAATATTTTGTCTTCAGATTTTGATGCAGATTGATGGAGAATCGATCTACAAATCATTTAAGGTACTCCGTTTGAGAATCGGATAATGATTGACAAAGATATGGCTTTAGCTGAGGGCCATATTTGTGATCTTTGCATTTTGCCCATTTTTGAAGGGGATGCCCCAGGAAATTTGGAAAAATATCGAAAAAATATTTGTCCACAGATTTTGATGCAGATTGATGAAAAATCGATCTACAAATCAATTAACGTACTCCGTTTGAGAATCGGATAATGATTGGCAAAGATATGGCTTTAGCAGTGGGCCATATTTGTGATCTATGCATTTTGACCACTTTTGAAGGGGATGCCCCAGAAAATTTGGAAAAAAATCTAAAAAATATTTGGTTTCCAGATTTTGATGCAGATTGATGGAGAATCGATCTACAAATCATTTAAGGTACTCCGTTTGAGAATCGGATAATGATTGGCAAAGATATGGCTTTAGCTGTAGGCCATATTTGTGATCTTTGCATTTTGCCCATTTTTGAAGGAGATGCCCCAAAAAATTTGGAAAAAAATCGAAAAAAATCGAAAAAATATTTTATCCCCAGATTTTGATGCAGATTGATGGAGAATCGATCTACAAATCATTTTAGGTACTCCGTTTGAGAATCGGATACTGATTGGCAAAGATATGGCTTTAGCTGTGGGCCATATTTGTGATCTATGCATTTTGACCACTTTTGAAGGGGATGCCCCAGAAAATTTGGAAAAAAATCGAAAAAATATTTTGTTCCCAAGTTTTGATACAGATTGATGAAGAATCGATCTTCAAATCATTTAAGGTACTTAAATTATTATTAAAATGATGATTATTATTAAATGTGATTAAAATTAAAATATTATTAAAATTATTGAAATTCACGAGTGTTGGAGCCCTGATTAATCGATAACTCATAACTATCGGTCTATACATCGATAGTTGTTTACCTTTTTCCCACAAAAAAAATAAAACATTTACAAAACAAAAGTATTTGTACAATTCGAAATGGCTAATGCTGTTGTTTCTTAAGCTGTAATAAAATGTAAGCGTGGATCCTGTGGCAAGTATCGCAGCAATCTCGGCAATCCCCCCTTTTCAATCCGCGAGCTTGGTGCTCCCGCATAGTTGCCAATTGTGCCGGACGCACTATGGAGCAGGACGAGGAGCAGTCGCCGGAACAGCCCATGGCTAAGGAACTGGACATGGACCAGTCCCCAGTGGATGTGGCGCAGTCTTATATAACACGGGCGAAGATGAATCCGGCCAAAAAGGACAATGAGAAGCGTAGACGGAAGGATGCCATGCGAAGGGTAATTAGTGTGCGCTAGTGTGTGTGCGCACACTGTGTATATTTGCGTATTTAACCCCTTGCAAAAATTTATTAAATTTTTTCACAAAATCAGACGCTTTCACTCTTAAATAAATAGATTTTTTTATTCATAGTTTAATAAACATATTGCAAGGGTTAATTTCTGACCAATTATGCATGAACATGTTAATTAAACCACCACTTACTTGCAGGTTTCGATGATAATGAGGAAATGTGACTCTTTGCGCTCGGCAGACGATCGCCAGTTCCTCGAGAAGCATCCTGACATGGTGAAGGCCACCAAGAAGCGCAAGGAACGGGTTGAGATCTACAAAGAGCGGGTAGTGGAGCGAGAGGATGCGGCGCACGTAATCGAGGCCAAGGTGGAACAGCTAGCCAACATCATATCGCAGGCCAAGCACCTAGTTTGCTACACGGGAGCTGGGATAAGCACGGCAGCCCTCATTCCGGACTATCGGGGTAGCCAAGGCATCTGGACATTGCTGCAGAAGGGCCAGGAGATTGGCGAGCACGATTTGTCCAGCGCAAATCCCACCTACACGCATATGGCATTGTATGAGTTGCACCGCCGGCGAATCCTTCATCATGTGGTGTCCCAAAACTGTGATGGCCTGCACTTAAGATCCGGCTTGCCGCGACAATCGTTGTCGGAAATTCACGGGAACATGTACGTAGAGGTGTGCAAGAACTGTCGGCCAAATGGTATATATTGGCGACAGTTTGACACCACGGAGATGACGGCCCGGTACTGCCACAAGACCCACCGCCTGTGTCACAGATGCTCCGAGCCCTTGTACGACACCATTGTACACTTTGGAGAGCGGGGAAATCTAAAGTGGCCCTTGAACTGGGCTGGAGCAACCGCTAATGCTGAACGCGCTGACGTAATTCTCTGCCTGGGATCAAGTCTGAAAGTGCTGAAGAAGTACACATGGTTGTGGCAGATGGATCGGCCTGCTCGACAACGTGCTAAGATTTGTGTGGTGAACTTGCAGTGGACACCAAAGGACTCGATTGCCAGCATAAAGATCAACGGAAAGTGCGATCGGGTAATGGCCCAGTTGATGCACCTGCTTAACATTTCAGTGCCCGTTTACACAAAGGAAAAAGATCCCATTTTTGCCCATGCCTCGCTCCTAATGCCCGAGGAGTTGCACACTCTAACGCAACCACTGCTGAAGAATGCCGACGAGGAAGAAGCCTTCACCACCACCACCGAAGAAACACAAGACTCGACCATTTCCAGCGAGAGCTGCAGCTTCAACTACAGTGATTTTCCCATCGGAAAGGGACCTCGCATTCGGACGCCCATCAAGAACGGTAGACGAATCAAGACCAACTTGGAGTTGCGCCAGAAATTCAAAGTTGAGGAAGAAATCACAGTAGAGCAGACCGTTGCTAATGGGGCGATAGCTACCGAGAATGGATCCATCCTAGAGGTGGAGGAAAAATCTATTAAAATAGAGACTGAAGTGAAACTGGACGATATTGAAATTAAGGAGACGGTGGTGAAGCAGGAAATGCATCTTTTGGAGCTTCTGCCAAAATTGGAACCTCTCACCCTAAAAGAAGAGTCGGATGAAATGATACAACTGCCCAAACTAGTCGCCATACAACAAACACAAGTGGAAGTGGAAAACAACGTCACTTCTCCAAAAGAGATCAAATTAGAGCCACTGCAGCTGCCACCATTGGTACCTATCGGAGCGCCTCTTTCTACGCCTTTTGTGGAGCCAAAGCCTGCTTTTCACAGCCTACAAATTCAGGTCCAGAGCGATGATGGATCCAGCACAGAGAACGAGAACGACGATCAGGACGAGGATGATGAAAGCGAGCTGGCCCAAGTGGATTTGCTGCGGTTGAACAATGACGAGGAGCTCCTTCGCCAGCTACCCACTTGGCATGATGCTAAGTACGCGTATTCCGGCCTGCACAGCATACTGATACCTCCGCCACCCGATCTCAACATCTGGAATTCGCAGGTGGTGCCGAACTTTGCGATGAACCGATCCGCCGCAAGCTGCGATTTCTGTTTCGATCACTATGCTGAGCTGGATTGCCAGTTTTATCGGCGGTGGAACCTCAACCAGCGAAAGCACAAGAAGCGGGCCAGGAGCGGCCGGTTTGTGGTCTGCGAATGCTGTCCCACCTCCGACGATGAGGATGACTATGACGAGAATATATCGCTGGCACACATAGCGGCTGCCGAAACAGCTAAACGGAGACAGCAACTGAGCACCAGCTTCCCGCGGAAACTGGCCCGCACTCAAGCCGGTTGGTATGGCAAGGGATACAAAAAGGGTCGGAAACGCCGGTAAATCACAGCACCTCCATCCCATAAGTCAAAACGGCCGTGATCCTACCCCAAACACCGAGTGGGTCGGTACTTAAAATTAATATTCAAGTCCAGGCATAGGCTTGGAATTCAAGGAACAAATCGACCCGCTCCAACCGAGATTAAATGCTCGCTTCGATAGTATTTTTTAGCTGTAGAATGGATAAGTCATAGCATAGACGGTAGTGCCAGCTAGAATAGGGTAGGGATCCGTTTTTCGGTCATTATTAAGAGTTTTTTAAATTGTCACATCCTTGTTTCCATGTCATTGAATGTCCTTTTATTCGTAATCGTAATTGTCCATCAACGTTATTTATTAAGAGTCCCATGTTTCTGTAGCTTAAGTTATGTATGATTTGTCACAATTTTAATGGTATTTTTGCATTTTTAGTCTTGTCATCGGTAAATTTTTAAAGAACTTATGTTTGTATGTTTTTAAGCAAATCACCAACTTATTGGTTCAATTTTAAAGTGTGTTTTTAAAATCTTACTTCCGCCCTTTACACTTTAAGTCAATAAACGACAAAAGCAGTACGCTTCAAAAACTAATAGTTTCTGTTTTATTCTCCCATTAAAATAGGCCTATTTTTAAAGTAGTTTAAGTTAAAAACAATATAATTTTCATCTGTGTAGAACCAAGTTTATTCATTAACTTAAACTTAAATGTATTGCTAGTTTATATATAGTTTTGCGAACGCTTGTGTGAGTGTTTGTATGTGAGATAGGCATTCCATGTCGGGAGTGACCAGGGAAGAAGTGTTGGCTTCTGCCCAATCTTCAAGAGGTTTCAATCCCTGCGTGTGTACGTGAGTGTGTGTTTTACATGGAACACTGCAAAATACCCAAGAATCAACAAAAGACCAGACAACGGAAACAAACATAGAGGGAGGAGGACTACACACTTAGAACACAGTAAGTTGATTAGATTAACACTATCGATCGGTAATGTTTCGGGGGCATGGTGCAGGCATGAGCGTAGAGCGTACGGGGGTGCAAAAATCGCAAAAAATAATCCCTGACGGCCAATATAAAAATAAAATTCTTGACAAATACAAAATACAAATACAGATACGGATTTATATAAATACAAATTTGGATACAATGAGTTGGAGGCCAATCGAGATGTGGGTCTTATAAATGCTCTTAGGACGCAATGTCAGCAACAAATCACGTTTCCATATAATACAATTATCCAATTCCACAGATAGGTTTAGGTCGCGTGCTTTGAGCACGTCGGCATTGAGATTAAAATCGCCGCGGCGATATGTTTTTAGGGGGTAGCATGTAAGGGGAATAGAAATGGGAATGATTGCAGAGACGGGACTGAGACTAGAGCCGGAATCAGCAGCCGTTCTTTAGGCCACGTAGATGAACATGTTAATGTCGTCATCGTCACGCCTCATATACTTGTGCTCGATAAGCCATTCTAGTTGCTCTTTGATCATCTTCTTGGACGGCAGGAACATGTTCTTTAGTATGTCGATAAGTTCACCCTGTGGAAAGAATAAATTAATTCTCCAAAGCCCATTTAATTTAGTTTAAAAAGTGCCACTCACCTGCAGTGCTGCGTTGTTCATCCGCTTTCGCACCTTCATGATTTTAATGATGGCTTCTTGGGTGCGCAGGATGCGCAACTGCACGATAGACTGATTGTCCTCTTGCTGTGAGCGTTCTGTGCTAAGCTGTAGACGCCCGATTAGATTAAGCTGGAATTAAGTTAAAATCAGCAACTTGGGAAAACGTTTAGAAATAATAAAGAACGTACCTTGCCACGGCGCTGCGACTTTCCATTCTTCACAATTGCAAACTCTTGATTAATGTAGAACATTGTATTCTCAGTGAAATCCTTCGGCGAGGCAATGGCGGTCGGCTCCATTAGCAAAATTTGCTTCTTGATCTTGGGAAAAGCTACCAGTGACCATAGAGTTCTCCTAAGCTCGGGATCTTAAATTATGGTTGTTAGAATTTAAGCCTTCTATGGTAATCGAATAAACAAATACCAACCTGGCAGCTCTGTGGCTAGGCGCAGATTCTCGTAGGAGATTTTGTCATGTTGCCGCTGATTCCACGCAAAGAGAACGGCCATTTGAAAAGTGGTAACATCCAGATCGTAGCGGCCAAAGTTGTTCACAAAGGTGATGGTGCCATTGCTCATATGATGATACCACTGCAGCTTGCGGCCGGAATGCTTCTTTTTGTAAAACTCCTCTACGTCTGGAATATAATCCTCCAGCTCGATGGGCAACGAGACCGAAACGCGCTCTGAGCAGCGGGCCCACGCGCCAGCGTTGAGTATTTTAATGTTGATGGCATCGTGACGACTTGTCGAACTGCGAAATTGAGTATTTAGATCCTCGCTGACCTGTACATTGAAAATTATTAATAAATTGTATTTTAAAGTAATAGATTGGGTGTTACCTTTATGTCCTGGAACATGCGCGCCAAACGATTCACGTAGTCGGCCGGCATTCCCACTTCGCGTAGCCACTCGACAATGTCCTCCTCCTTTTCGCTGTCGGCGCTGGTACCCAAAATGAGGCTGTTTTTCAAAAGTAGATTGAAATTTAGTTTAAAAGTTAATCTTTAAAGAAAAAAAATAAACTCACCGCCTCGTTAAGTGCACTTTGTGGTAGCGCATGAACACATCTTTATTGTTGACATACTTTAGGACAAGCAGGACATCCCTGAGGCGAGCGTCGATCTGCTCGCTGGTGAGGCGTTTACTGAGCGGCGTTCTTCGCAGCAACATGTCGCAGTAGTTGGCCAGGAGCTCCGGACACTTGCTCTCCGGCGCTGTATATTTGACGCCGCGATTGGCGATGCTTGTGGGCAGTTCCATTTTGAACACGCTGGTGTCGTTAACTACCGTCTTGAACGCAATGTCGCGGGCGGTAAGGAAACGGGGATCGTCGTTGAAGGCATTGCGAACAAGGTCGCTAAACTTGTTGAACAGCTCAAGCAGGCGTTCCACGTATTTTTCCGAATCCTGAGTGATCACCTCTGAGGCGGAGAGCATATCCGCCAATCCCGCGGACATGATGTGCCTTTGAAGATCACCCATCATGGCCTCCACTCCCACTCCATGCAAAACCCGGTCCATTAGCCGGAACATGAGATTTAAGCGCTCGGTTTCGTAATCCCTGATCAGAGCGGGGCACTCGGCAATAATGGAGTTTAGGTGATCCACTATGAGTACCTTAACCAGCGTGTATGTGAGAATGCTAAAGCTGCTCGGCTCCAGGTACCGCTTGGCTCGCACCTCCTCCTCGCGCAGCTTGGCATCTGCATACTTCATGTAGGCCAGCACTCCATTCTCCTGCTGCTGTTCCGTGGACTTCAGGCGATAGAACTCGGCTGTTGCTTTGAGGTAAGCCATCTCGAAATTCTCCCTGTAGATCTCCAGCTTGTCCTCTGAATTGGAGGAGAGATTCACGTAGCTTTCGCGCACCCCGACTACCAGCTGGGCATCATAGGCATCTCCGTTGCGCTCGGCGTGCACAATTTTCATGGCGGAGTCCTGAAGGCGGTGCTTGATGTCGTGAAATATATGCTTATTCCATGAATCCAGCATAAGTTTTCGGACGGGGCTGTCCTCCGTGGGGTTCTTTTTTGAGGTGGTGGTGCTGCTACCATTGTTCCCGCTCCCAGACGCCGCTGCAGCTGCCGCAGAGCTTGAAGATGTGGATGCGGCGGCGGAGGTGGAGGCTGCAGCGGCTGAGGTGGAGGGTCCAGCTTTGGAGGTATTACTGGAACATGAGGCTGCCGCAGCACTGGTACTCGCACCGGAGGCGGAGGCCGATGTGGAACTGGAGCTAGATGGTTTCACTTGCGGCGACTGCTCCAACTGGCGAAAGGGCAGGGGTAGATAATTGGATTGGGTAAAAAACTTTCGCCACTCGACGATGTATGTGGCAAGCAGGGCCTGCTCCCCGCGTTGGGCTTGCACCTGGCTCTGGGCCTGGACGATAAATTCGACGATGTCCTGCTGCAGGCAGTCGTAGATCTTGGCGGCGCCCTTTTCGTCCCACAAGCAAACGAAGTGCACGCCGAAAAAAAGGTCCTGCCATTCGCGTTGCGACACCGTGTCCTGCCGCAGGAGCTTCAGCACAATTCGTCTCTTGTCCGGCCAAACCTCCTCGAAGATGTCCCTGTCCCGCTTGCCGATTGCCTGCCAAACAGAGAGATATGTGCTTGCCGTGAGTTTATTCCACTCGGATGGAAGGTCACTTACCCGTAGCATTTTGTTCGTCGCAATCTCTATGTTTTTATTGCTGCGTCCGCTTCTTCAGTTCATTTATATTTATTTTTTTGTAATTAAAGCAGCGATGGTCGATAACCGCGAAGACCAGCAATATTAAGAGCAAATAATCGATGAACCATGTTATCGATGATTGTCGGAGGAAAAGAAATCCCGACTATAATCTCTGGAGTGCAGTACCAAAAGTGCGGGAAATCTTCGGAATGCTGTAGTTAACAGCGCGCGTTCGCCCCAGGGAAAGTCGCCAAACGCCCCAGCCTATATCAGTCCAAGGAATCCGTTCAAAGTGTGCATCCCGAACGGTTATTTAATTGTTTTGTGAAATTCGCTAGTTTCCCATTTCGTTTTGGTTTTTTTCTTCTCTACCTCTTCGTGTGCGAGTGAAACGGCAATAGTGTCAGGGTTGTCAACTGCATGCTGAGATCTAACACTGATTCTACTGCGTTACCAAGCCAAAATCAAGGACTATTTAATAATAAAACCCAGGGAGTCATCCCAGAAGAATAAATATGATAAATCTTCTGCCCTGCATACAATTTTTGCATTCAGTGCGATGTTTACATTAGCACAGACACTTATCGATAGCAGGTATTCTGTAGAAACGTGACAACCCTGCGATTACATTTTTCACATTCACATTTTCCCTTTGTTTGTCGGCGGCGGCGCTCGTTGTACGGCCGTGCGTAACGAATAAAATCGCAAAAAATCGCGGAAAACGCAGAAAACCGTGAGCAGAAATGTAAATAAACATAGTGCTGATGAGCAGTCGTCGATCTAGTGTTCCCAAACACCTGCAAAATGTGCATAAAAAGCGAGGTTCAGTGAGGACGACGACAACAACAACAACTACGTGCTGCTGCTGCGTTCATTGACGTGACGCGCGAGCGTGAGTGTGTGTGCGTGCGTGCGCGTGTGTGTGTGGTCGGTGTGTGCTGGCTGTTCAGTGTGTGTGTGGAGTTGTTGTCAAAATTAAGCGTTTCAAACAACAAGCCAGCAACGAAGGAAGAAGCAGCAACAAACAAACACCACAACACGGCACAAAATTGCAATAAAAGCAGCAACACCTCGATATCAATTGCCTCCCAGCCCCCCAGCAACAACAACATCTGTCTCGTTGCCGCCAGAGAGAGGGAGAGAGCAAAAAGAAAGTCAACAGTCGCGTGTGAAATGAAATTCAAAAAATGCCGGAGTGTGTGTGTTGAGTGTATAGAATTGAGTGAGAAGGAGCGCCGCGAAGGCAGAAGGAAATAAGCAATAGCATCAGCATCAGTAGCAACAACAACAACAACCAACAACAAACAACCAATGAAGCAATCAAATTTAGTTTAATTTGCTTTAGCCGACGTTTGTCTCAAAACCCCACAACACACACAGCACAAGGAGCCCAAATCTTTTGCCAATGAGTCGCAGACAGTCATTGGATCGACCAGGTGAGAAAAAGTGACATCAAAATCGAATAAAAACACTCGTAATAATTGCAGACTGCCCTGCCGTCTCGGAAGCAGCAGCATAGCATCCCATGCGAGTTGCTGCACTTTACGCGCATGTTCTCTTCTCTCGTTGTTTTCGTCTTCTCTCTCTCTCTCTATCTGTCTCTCTCGCTGCTCCGCTTCTCGGGCTATAAATAAACGTGCTCTCTCGAAACGCGCTGGATGCTGGATGCGCAGCTGCTCCCGCTCCCGCTCCCAAAACACTTGAACTTTGTAAACATTTCCAAGCACCAGCCAGCCAAACTAGCAGTATAATTAATAGTTTTCCAAAAAGGAAAACCCCCACAGAACAGTGCCCCCTCCCCTCCTGCCCCCGACACAAATGAATGGAAAAGTCACCTCTTTTCGGGTCGTTCGCAATTCTATTTTTAAACCCGAGTTTCAACACTCGAGAGGGGAAAAGAGAAAGTATCTGTCACTGTCCAAAGCAGATGTAAATGTGGCTCATATAACTTTTAATGCTTTTGTGAGCTTGTTTTTTGGGGGGAAAGAAAGCAGCCAAATAAAAAATCATTAAAAATTCGCCAACTTTTGTTTATATTTTGTGGTATTTTTTGTTGCCTGGCCCATAAAACAGGTGCTACCGAAATGATAATCATTAGGACCCCCTTTCATGGAGTCTCTTTAGCTAAGCTAGTTTGCTTCTAGGAATGCTGTCCACTTATCAACTGCAATTAGCTTGGAATGCTTGACATGCAACGCTTGAGAACTCAGACTGCCCGGCCCCTAACACACACAAACACACACACATTCCTACACACTCTCTCGCACACTCACCTGCCTTTAATTTATTTATAACATTCAATGTAAACTCTGCTCAAGAGCCAGCCAACAGTACAAACAATTTTTGATGCAAAGCAACAGTAACAACAAAAACAACAAGTAGTAGTAGTCGCGTTTGCTTGATTTTTTTTATTATTTGCCGCTTTGTAGGTCAGGGTTGTCGTGTGTAATGCAAAACGTGCCAGCAAATTGAATGAATAAGCTACCTACCATACCTACCCGCCCATATTTTCTAATGCGATTCAAACGCCAAGAATTATACCCAGAAGCAGGGTATCGCTAGTCAGATATTACCCTCATAAAAAAGTTGTACCTCTAAAAAAAAATTAATTGGGGTGTAAACCGGTTTATTGCAGTGGTTATAAAATGAACCAAAAATTACTTCCGATTCTAAAGAAACTAATACACCAAATCGAATTATATACTGATATAAATAAAATAATATTATAATATAAATTTAATATATATTATATATAAATTAAATATGATAATATAAATTTCCTTAAAAACTCACCAAGTTTTATAGTTTTCTTTGCTTTTATTATTTATTATGACTCTGGTGACCCTATTCTAGCTAGTCCCGAGAATGTTATCGATATTTACATTGTTTACAAGCCAGGGCCGGGCAGATATGAGCGTATGAGCGGCGGAGGTGTTGGCAATGTTTACACTGAGAATAATTTCATCTACCGGTTGGATTGATTGTTATTCTGGTTCAAGTGTGGGCGTTTTTAACTCAATTTGGTTGTTTATGGCTGCGATTTTCCCGCTGTCTTCGCTGGTGGGGAGCGTGACAAGGCGTCATTAAATGCTGTTTAAAGGTGAAATCGATTTTCCGGGTCATTAAGTGCCATTATAATTGTGCTTTAGACACATTGTTTTGTCATACTCGGTGGCTAATCAAAGTCTAATGTTTTTCAAAAACTGGGATTATATTACTAATCATCTTGTGATTTAGTTTCGAACATGACTCAGTGATAATATTTATTCAAACCACCATTACACTCGCTGGAAATGTCATTCTCTTATCAGCGAAAATGCGACGGAATGTGGGTGTGTGTGTGATGTGATGTCTCTTTCTCTCCCAATCTCATATTCCAGCAATTTCTCTCGAAGCCACGTTGTCTTATCAGTGCATTTGTTGCTTTGTAGTTCCTAATTGTTGTTGGCATTTTTTCGCCTTTGTCTAATGATTTACGACAGCCAGCCCTGCAAGGCCAGGAGCACAGACGGGGAATTCAAATTTGATTAGCATAGAAGGGTCCTCGTCGCCGACAAAATCCCAGCATAGTCATCCTCAAGTGCCCGGACTGGTGTGCTGTTGTGGCACATCATTAATCTTGGCCCCAAACACAAAAGGGCCAGCAAAAAGTTGGCAGCAAAAGTTGCCAAAGCAACGCATCGGGCTATTAACTTCCCCAACTCAATGCAGTCTGTAATGAAATTGCTTTGATTTTAAGCTGAGAAAGTTCTCCCCTCTCCACCCCGACACGAATCTTTGTGGCTTGTGCCCTCTTCTACAGGGGTTACAGGTTTTTTGTTGTGTATCTACAAATACAACCTTTAAGATACAAAGATGTATAACTAATTTCATAATTGAAAGATTACTCGAATCCTTGAGACTTAAAAGTTGACACTTCCTTTCGGGGGTTAATCGTGGCGGCCCGGCCAGCAGTGGCCGCCGATGTGTATCTATCTATTAAAAAATCGGGGCGAGTCGAAGTGGCCAAAAGACGACGATGTGGAAAACGAAAGCCAAAACGACGACAATCGCGAGTGCTCTCTCAGGAAATTGTTTTTGGGGAGCACGTCGGAATTAGCGCCAATAACAATGGCAACGCGAGCGAGCCACGAGCCCCCAACAGACATGACTCACAAGCAAGATTAGTTTATGAAAATAATTAAAATTTAGTTGAAATACATTTATTTTTACAATTTTAATTCATTAATCTCACTCTGTTGGCTAAGAAGTGCTCTGAATAGTAGGCAATGGTTTTTATTTCCCCCCATTTATCACGTTTACTAACACTGCCACACAAAGGTCCTTTGGGGTAAAATGTAAAATGGCTCTTGCTAAATATTTACCCCATCTAATCAGGCAATTTCCGATGCTGTCCATATATCATCCACGCCCGGAATATACCCTGACTGCCAGTTGCCAATTGTTGGGTCTGGACTGGAGTGGGGTGGGTGGCCTGTGCCCAGGGAGGGGGGCAGACATGATGAGTTGGGCATAAATTATTTTTGCCGCCTGAATGTCTAATATGGCGACTATGAATATGCGGTTTAGACATGCACTGAACATTAATGGTTTCTTTTATAAAAAAAAGGGTAAAAAACAGGAAAAATATTCTTATATGATATAGCATAGTTCCTGTTTTTATATAACATCTAGTTCGGATTACTTTTTAAATATTTATTAGGGGTTATTCCGGTTTGCAGAAACACTGCAATGGGTCTCTAACAATAGGAATAATACCAGCCGGCAATGAAGCATATTACCCATCCCAGTTCCAGACCAGAACCCAGACCCAGAGCCATATTCACCTTTCGCTCACAGGACGAAACCCAGACAGGCCACCGCTTGGACGCCGCTCTCCTCGTGCGTTTCATCTGTCATTTATCCCGTTTGTTTCTCCGCTTGTTTTTGGCTCTCAGGAGAGTCGAGTCGCAGTCGGAGTCGAGTCGGGAGTGGAGTCCGAGGCGATTCGAGAGTTTTGTGATTTTCGACATGTCGCTTCTTCAACCCTTTTTTCAATGTACATTGTACACGTATCCGTATCCGTAAGTTTGTTCATCTCCATGTGTATCTATGTGTGTGTGTGTATGAGTGTGTATGCGTGTGTATGGAAAGTTTTGCATTTTTATTATAGATAATTTGTGTACAGGTTTTTTGTGGCTGGCGCGCAAACTCCCAACTTGTGTTGGATATTGGAGATGGAAGCTTCTGTTTCCTCTCGACTGGCATGCCATTTCCTCCTCCATTATGGCGAGGACGCTGCCGTCGTCCTGTCTGCACTCTGCATATGTTGGATGTTATTTATTCCCCCTGCCAGTTGTTGTTGTTTCTGGTCCTGCTCCTGTTCTGGGGGGGAGCCATAATTAATTTTCGACATTTGCTTGTGTTCTCTCCTCTCCTCTCCTGTCGCTTTTGAAATCTGGCAACGTTGCAATCAACCGCACAAGTTCTCTATATTAGAGAAAAGTGAAGAGCGTGAGAGTTTTGAATTATTAATGTATTTATTTTATTTTATTTTTTATTCAAAAATATGATATTATGTTGAGTAATAACGTGTATTTTATCCTTTTCAAAATAATGCAAATTTATGCAATAATAATAGCAACCCTCTATAGCTCAGCCATGTCAGGATTAACTAGGATTTTGAACCCCACCCCTTCAGATACAGATACAGATACAATACCATTCGAGTCATGTTTGTTATTGGCTTGACTGGCTTCCAATCCGTCAAGTTTCGAGACCAACATTTCCTCGCCCAAGTTGCATTATTAACAAAATTTTACCGCCTGTCGGGCTTCCGAAATGACAAGTACGTAAGGGGAGGGTAAGTGGAGGAGGCAGGCCCGAGGCAAGCTACTGCATCTAGCGGATGCATTTTGCATGTCATCCAGGGGATCGCTCATGTGTGCATTCTCGATTGTACAATGGCACTTGCCACTTGACATTCGCATTCGCATTAGCAGATACAGGGAGCTGGGTGGGTAAGTGCACTGGTTAATGGGTTAATGGTCTTTGAATGTTCGGGCTGGAAGGGTTCTGCTGCCCAGGACGTTGATGGGTTGATGGATTTCATTTTAAAGGCTTATTACCAAGGAAAATGAGTCGATTTTTTTAAAATTCTATCATATTTATATATGCATGTTTGAGCTTTATGAACGCCATCGGTTATTATTTGAAAAGTGTATTCGAGTTTGCCTTTTGCCTTCCGCTACGGTTGGTAATTTTCGTGCCCCTCGGCTGGGTTTTGGCTCTCGTTCTGGTTATGGTTCGAGTTGGAGTTCGAGTTTGGTTTATTCTTTTCGGATGGCTCATTGTGAATTCAGTGGGTAAACATTTGAACAAGTGTTCGGATCGTTGAAGCCAGTTACCGAGCTTTTCAGCCGCAAATTTTCGGGTTGGAAAGATGGTAGATGACAGG